TAATAAAACATAAAATAAGATAAAATCGCAAAATGTTAGGGCTGGGATCCTGTCATAATATTCTATAAGTTTTCTAATACCTTCCATGCGACAATGCTCTCTCTTCTCTTCCATCGTAATATAGCTGGACTGTTTTGTTTTCTCTTTTTCTCCTAACTTTTAAGAAGAACATTCTGGGAATTAAATCAAAACTTCCCACTGAAAACATTAGTACAACATTGGATGGTAATGGTTCTCAGAAAAGCACCCATTTTTTAAAAGCATCCATCAAAGGTACAAGTGAAGAATCACAGGAAATTTTAAAGAAAGATGATTAATCTGATCACTACTGCACAGACTGGCTCTGAATGGTGAAAGATGGCATTGGCCCTATCCAGGATATTTTGGCCTTATTTTTGTACAGTAGGAGGAAGTGGAGACATGCATCTTTTATATGTCGATGGTTGTGAAAGTTGGTTTTGGTCTTTTCATGGGATTTGTTGACAATAACAAATATAGTGTGTCGCCATCGTTTAACATGTTGTCAGAAATTATTTTGAGTTATGCTCACATAATTGTACCCTTTCTTAGAATGAATTATACTCTGTATTATGTGTTTTAAGCCAAACAGTAATGTAACGTAAAGTCATACATTATATTGTGAATGTTTTAAGTTGAGACTGGAAAATGCAGAATGTCTTTCTTTTTATTAGGTGCCATGTGTAAACAAATACAATTTTGTTCTATTGTTCTGCTTTTATCTTTTCTCAAGCTTTGACAGATTAAATATTTATCCCATCCCTTATTCTCTGCTTCATTTTGACTCTGTAGCTCAAGTGTCTCTGTGATGCATCAGATATGAAATAAATAAAACAACATCCACTTAAACAATATCTTCTGTCAGAGAATATAGGACCATTTATTGCATAAAATGTTGTGTACTTTTATTTGATGGAATAGGCTATTCCCCTCAGGGTGATCTCCAATGATCCGAGCCGCAGTGCGTGAATTGGAAAGCACAATATCCCCCCCCCAAAGGCTACAGAAGAGAATCCTACAGACATTATTATTGAGAAAAGTGCCAGATAAAAGCAGATGCCATCACCATATTGTGATAAGAACACAACAGGAAGGAGCAAAGCATAATGAGTGAGAGTGAAAGCTTGCCAGGTTATAGAGATCTGCTCATTTCCTTTATTGAATGGTGTGTGTGACGTGACTGCTCTTCAGAGTTGTCAATGAGTCATATTAATGATGATTGAAATAGAAGCTTATTAGCACATTTTCAACTGACTATTCCCTGATTTGTCAGACAGAAGATTGATAACCATGAAAACAGTGTCGATGGAAGTGTGCGAGTATAATGACACCAGTACACATCAGCAGGAGAGGAAGTGAATGTAAAAAGTATTTTAAAAAAGAAATCAAAGCAGTCTGTTTCAGAAAGACATTCTGCATTTTCCAGTCTCAACTTAAAACATTCACAATATAATGTATGACTTTACGTTACATTACTGTTTGGCTTAAAACACATAATTCAGAGTATAATTCATTCTAAGAAATCCAATTTGTTTGTCACATTCCTGAAGTATGAACTACTACAACACAAATGGTTGCAATAACCTTCAACACACAGTGATGAGGACAAGGAGGAGAGAAGCTGTATCAACAAACAATATGATTCAAAATGCCCAAAGACAGTGAAAATAAAAATAAAGCTGTAGATTAAAGTATGCATTCAGCATCCTTATTGTATTTGGCAAGAAAGACTTGCTGACTTGTCTATAGCGCCCCCCTGAGGGCTCTAAGTGCGAGTGAGGAGTGTGGGGGGGATCTTGAAAGCTTGCCTTTTTATATTCAATCCATAATTCGCACTTTAGGAGCTTCCCTGTAATTTCACAAGCTATATGTACTATTCTCTGCAAAGTAAGTTTATTCCTGACATTACGATTTCCATACCACACAAAGAATTAAATACTAACCACCAGATTCGTAAACACTGTTTCCAGAGATATAATTTCACCTTCTAAGTACATACAATGTCTGAGTAGCTTCCTTTACAAGGTGGTCAGGATTCTGTCAGATGTTATTGACTGTTCAAAGATTTTAAAGCTGCAGTAGATAACTTTTATGAAAATAACTTTGTGGAATATTTGCTGAAACTTTCACTATATCCTGACAGTAGAACATAAGATAGATAATCTGTGAAACAATCTGGTTCCTCTGGCTCCTCCTAGTGCTCCTAATGTCATTTGCAAGAATCCACTGGGCCTAGACGAAAACAACCAATCAGAGCCGAGAACCTGATTTTTATCTTTATTTTTTAATGTATTTGTCTCATAAGAGTTACCTTACTGCATCTTTAACTACTGACAGTTTCTGCGGCAGATCAAGTGATGGTCAAAAGTCAGGAGTGTCTTGTGTGTTGCTAGGAAAGAACAAAGGTGATCAAATCAAATTTATCTGACGGGATCTCTGAGACTACATCAGATATGCCCTGAGGTATATTAATATGGACCCCCATATTAATACACCAAAAAGTTGAGAACCACTGCTCTATTGAACTGAAAATCTCTGAAAAATCTGAAAAGATATGTGTTATCATAAAAATTAAGTCGAACTAAAATCAATAAATAAGATTCTAGCATACTGTGTAGAGTGGTGAACAAATAGTAAAATAGTAACAGTAAAAGTTAACGTTGCAACATTAGTGCCTCTAAATGTTTCATAAGAAAACTGGAGGGGTCAAGATGATCAACAGCAGCACATTAAAACTCTCTCTAAGATACATCTGTAAAGATGTTAGTCAGAGTTGATGAAGTGGACATGATGCAGACCATTTGGAGAAAGTAATGAGTTAGTGACCTCTGCTGGTGAAGCTTTAACATTACAGTCAATGGAACTGGAGAGTTTGACATGATGCACGCTGTCTCTGTACAGAGTATGGAGATAAAAGTTTTTGGATACAGGTCCCATAGTCAAAAACATTCACAGACACCATTTCTCACTCATCACAACTACGGCTGCAACTAACAATTATTTTAATTATTGATTAGTCAGTTGATCATTTTCTTGATTAATCGATTAGTTGTTTGGTCACTGTCCCAAAGCCCAGGGTGACGTCCTAAAAAGTCTTGTTTTGTCCACAACCCAGAGATATTCAGAAACCAGAATATATTCACATCTGAGAATCTGAAATCAGACAATTTGGATTCAAAACAGTTCATCAAAATAGTTGGCTGTTAATTTAATAGTTGACAACTAATCGAATAATTGAAATTGTTGCAGCTCCATGTTCTGTCCATGACAGAGTGTTTCAATATTTCCACTAGATAGCAGAAATGAGAAGAAAAATAAAACAACCGGGTGTATAGGAGTATGTGTATGTATATAAATAACTGTATGTATTGTTTTATTTTATTTTACTTTTATGTTATCTAGGAATTAGATTATCTTTTTCTATGTGTGTGTAGCATGAAGGAACTACAAACTTTCATTTCATTATTCAGCCTTGTGTCGTAACTGTTTGAACTACTGACCAGGTTGTTTCCATTGGGTCAACGATACTGTAGAGTTATTGAGCTCAATGGAGAGGACGTTATTGACTCTTCTGTTGTGAACTGCAACTGTAAGCACAAACACAAGATTTATTTATTGGATGTCTTTGTTTCTTTGGCAAGGGACAACAAAAGCTTCCCCCCTATCCCTAACCCTACTTAAAGCCACAGATATAGCTGCTGTATAACCATTGCGTCAAAGGTTAAACATGTTTGGTCTTTCTCCCCTGATATTTCAAGAGACACTTGCTAGATTTTTTTGGGGAGACACAACAAAAACGTTTTTGTCATGCACTGGTACAATTTTGAGATTTGGGGCTTGTTTCCATAACATGTCTTCGTTCAGACTAGTGGAAAGAAAGTGCTCAAAATACACATTTATTTTATTAGCCTACACTGTCTATTTGTGTCTGTAGATTTCTCCTAAATTCACCAGAAGTTAGTGTTGATGATGCCTCATTTGCATATTTAAACCTAACATTTTAGAAAACTTGTAACATAGAAGGTCCAGTGTGTAGGATTTAGTGTTTCAGTTTGCAACTCCCTCGTCTCACCCTCCCTTTCCAAGTGCGGAAGAGAACCTTTGTTGGTTGCGAATCGTGTGAGAAATGCAAATGCCCCTGTCTTAGTTTGTCCCTTGTGGGCTACAGTAGATACTTGGTGGTTCAACATGGCGGACTCCATAGAAGGTGACCCGCGCCATAACAAAAACACAAGAATTCCTATATATGAAAGTTTCTTGATTCTCTGTAACTGGATCAAGATCATTTGGTGGCACAGAAATGAATAAAGTATGAGAATGAATTATTCCTCAATCCATTAAGTGTTGACCAGTGTTTGGCTTGTTACACACATTTTTTTTAATTTTATCACTCATTACTCTTTTCAAAAGTAATATTACTACTTTACATATTACTCCCTAGTAATTAGTTACAGTACTAATTTCATTACTTTTCCCACAAAATTGCTTATTGTGTCCTTTCTCCCCAAAATTCAGACTCACAGCGATTAAAATCCAGTTTTGTTTGTTAAAATTAAAGAATATTAACAGCTAGTTTACGATTACAAAAATGAATCCAGGGATGTGATTGGACTGTTGGATTTCAAATCAGTAGGTGACAGCAAAAGTAATCTTGTAACTAATTATGTTTTGGGGGGGAGTAACTTTAATATTATTACTGAAATATATTAGTAATGAGTTACACTACTAGTTAGTGGGGAAAGTAATCTTATCAGTAATGAGTTACTGCCGAACACATAGAGACTTAATTATTTGTTAATGAGCAGGAGCAGTTTATTTTAGATGCTGCATTATGCCAACAGCCACTCCTCAGTGACAGCATCCTCAGAGCCCTGCAGTTCAGTGAGCTATGTGCCACCATATACTGAGCCTTCCTCAACAAACTGAGTGGCGTTTCCCTTTAAAAAAAAAAAGGGAAAAAGAATCCGACGTAACGTGACGCAGATGCTTCCATCCATATACCCTTGTGCCTATCCTCACGCGGCAGCCAGCCATCCAGCGCACCTCCTGCATCCCCCTGGCCCGGCCCCCCCTCTCCTCTCCTCCCCTCCTCCCCGGGTGTGTGAGCCAGGATCACCGCTCCAAGCAGCGGAGCTCTTGGCGAAGAACCGCAGGGCGAACTGAGGCGATGGAACCGCGAAAAGACTAACAGCGCCACGGGAAAGGGCGCACAGGTAAGGCCTGAGCTTGTCATTGAAATCATTGGCCACTGGCCGCGGCAGAGCCGGCGGTTTGCGGAGGTTGCGCCTTTAGGAGTGCAGAGAGTGTGTTGTGCATCCAGGATCAATATGGAGTAACCGTGCAGGAAACGTGTGGAGCTTGGTGTTTATTCCGCAAGGCTCGGGCTGTTTCCTGTCTGTTTGTTATGGTGCAGCTGATGGATGCTGCGCAGTGCGCCCCGGCAGATGTTTGCGCCTCTTGTCATCCTGTGCGCCCATTCTGGAGCTCCCTGGGGCCTTTGGGCGTCAGATAGATGTTGTCCACCAGTGTCAGCGTCATAAGAGGTTAGATACTGAATCGTACTTTTGTTGGTAATTAGACGGCTCCCCTGGCCCTGCATGGACAAACACCCCACTGTGTCTTAGAGCCAAAGTAAGTGACATCCATGTTTGTAGGAAACAAAGTCGTGACAGGTCGCCTGGCGCTGCAGTTTGACCTTGCAGCATTTCTGTTTTTCAGGAACGCACGTTCCCACCTGGAACATAACAGCTCCTTTCAGTGTGGCTTCCAAATGCTGCGACTGAATTACTGTAATGATATCAAAGCTTTATACAGTCTCCACGAGGCTGTATGGGGTTAGCTCAGTGTTAATTGAATTACTATTCCACCTCTGTACAATAAAAGCCTAGAAGCCCATTTCTTAATGTAACACAGTGCCATTAGAAATGAATGGATGAGTGTAGTAGTGGTTGGAGACTCTCAGATCTTCCTGAACAGTCTTGGCACAAAACACATGATTTATCTGGACAACTGATACTGACTGGTGGTCTCATAATCTACCGCTCTTGTACTCAAAATACTAACTATTGTCTAACATGTGAACATGGTGATTAGGAGACAGTGGGCCCCTGGGCATAGAGATGTAGAAGGCCCCCCGCCCCATTCCAACATAGGAGTAAGACACCCAGACTGAGTGCTTTGTGGTTGTTTTTAGTCTTTCTGTTGTTCTTTTATGTGTAGTTTTTATGTTGTAATTTTTGTCTCTTTGTAGTCGTTATGTGCTTCTTTGTAGTTGTTTTGAGTTTCTTTTTGGTCGTTTACATCAGTTCCTAGTCGTTTTGACCCTTTGGTCCCTGGGCCTTTGACGCGTAGGCCTGTTCAGTAACCCTTTTATGCATATGAACCTTTATTTATATTTGAGTCCTGAAATGCAAGAGTGTGTAGAGCAGAAACACAGCATGCCCTGAGCACAGGGACGAAGCTCTGTGTTCTTTACTGGTCACTTTCACCCTTTGTAGCATGGCCACTTGTCAGCAGTAGGCTCCTCCATCCTGTTCCTCAGCACTCTCAGCCAATGGCAGCTCTCCTTCTGCTCACGTTCCTCACAAGTGGCGGACTGACCGTCGCCATGGTGACTTGGCAGTCATTTTCACAGCATGCTGTTTGCTCAGATGCGCCCGTGGTGGGAAAATCTCTAATTCTGCCTTTTTTCTCTATGATAATTCTAACCACAGACAGAATTATTGATCCCTATAAGAGCATAACACCACAGCAGTGGTCTCACAGGACCAACAGTTAATTTCAGGTCTTCATTCAAAATCACCATAGCCTCCTGATTGTTGTTTATCACCTCTTTTGTGTAGAGGATGTAGCTATCTGAAGTGTACTTGTAGTGCTGATCACACCATTTAACTCCATGGTTGCTCTTGCTGCAGGGGAGGGGACAGCAGATCTGTCTAAGTCGTTTTTGCCTGTATGAGCAGCAAAACACACCACTTTCAATCTCAGGTGTTTGCACTGTATGTTTATGGTATACAGTGTTACCAATAGCTGAGTAGCTCTGAGGGGAAAAGTGTGTATGGGTGCAACATGATGTTTGAAAGTAGCAGTAAACTTAATGCTTAAGTTATTCCTTATGGTATAGGACAGTGGAACATTTTGGCTTGTTACCCTTAAGAGAAAAGCCTTGTCTACACGTGACCCCTGTCATAGTTTGTATATGTCCAACAGTGAGCAGTCATCCATTCTGTTTGTAGACTGTTTCAAGAGTTTCTCGAGGCCTGACCGTGTCAAACTATAGGCTTACGTTGTTTTATTAGAGAAAAGTCTTTAAAAATTATATCATTTCTGCATTTGCTATCGTTTTTTTCATATTTCCCATGATTCTTCACTTGTACCTTTTATTTTATGGATCCACTGATTATTTAATTAAAAACAGGGGTTTTTCAGTGCTATGTTTTAAAATGCCTGTATTAAAGGTCCAGTGTGTGTTTAGGAGGATCTATTGGAATATAATATTCATAGGTGTGTTTTCATCAGTGTATAATCACATGTAAATAGGGCTTATGATGAATGTGCCCTTTTTATAATTTATTTTTTTGGACATTTCGCGGCCACTGTAGTTTCTCCTCCGCACTTGGAAGGGGAGGGTGAAGTGAGGGAGTTTCCATCTGCAACTACACTGATAGATGCCACTAAATCCTTCGTACTGGTCCTTTAAACCTGATTTACCAGGTTACAAGTTGGGTTGTTGTAGTTAGTGTAAATATCTTGGTTGTAGCCAATAGTGTAATGTGAATGGTCTTACTCGTGGTGAAAAACCCATTATGATCTGACTCAGTAGTTCCCCTCAGTCTCTACAGAGCTATTTATTGTCTTTGAGCTCATTGTTTTTTACAGTCCACAACCTCACTGTTTTGGTTTAGTCTTACCATTTTCATTTCCCATTTCCAACTGTTTATCAGCAAAAAGCTCTGATAAGCCAACAGTATAATACCAAAACAGCACCAAACAGCAGGTCAACAGTCAAATGTAGCGACAAGCTGGTGAACACAGTGGAGTCTTTTGCAGCTAAAGCCACATATTTCTCCCAGGATATGATGGAGACCAAAACAGAGCTACAAGAGAGTGAATCTTGGTCTTCTATTCATACGATTACCAGAAACACAACTTTAAATGCCTATGTTGCTGCTGGATATGTGAATAGGCATTCGCCATAAGGATATGGTGCTATTTTTATTATAAAGAAAAAACTACAAATGAATTACTGCTGTCTTATCAATGCATCTTCATCCTGAATGGAGCCTGATGTAGACAGAGTAGAGAGATTAATTTGTGTTGTCTCCTCCCACATGGTATTAACGTGATTGAATATTGATTTCCTGTTTTTATCAATGCTCTTTGCTTGTCTTGCCCCCGAGAAACATAGTTCACACAGACTATTAGCATGATCACTTAGGCCGTAGCGCCTTAATCGCTGCTGCTTGGCTCACTAATGACAAACCCATGGCCAAAGATATTTTGAGTTTATGACCTGATTAAGAGGTTCCCAGTCATCTCAGATAAGAGAGCTGTGTAAAGTGCTTTGGAACTTTACACAGTCAAACTAACAGCATTGTACCCAGAACTTGCAGCCAAAAGAGGGCTAAATGTTGTCAAAATCCAGTGAGAGTATAGTGTACCAAAGTCTGACATAAATGCTTTGCTGGGCCATTAAATGGGGTTAATTATTAAAGATATTTTTTCAATTATTTGGAAAATTTGCAAAATCTTCCACTCCCTCTTTTTCCCCTTTCACCCTCTGTGTTAAGTGTTATGTTGATTGATGGTCCAGTAAGAGCTGTGCTGTAGCTTTATTGCTGTGCTCTGCTGGATCTTAGCTAAGCTAGTCTGCATCCGCTGCTGCAGTAGGGTGACTCTGCAGGATTGGGCTGATCTGTGTACACTGGGAAAACTAAAAGTCAGTGTTTGTGCTCTTTACAGAATGTTATTTTCATCCTGCGTTTACTGAGGACAGGTCTGATGAATGTGTGTGTTCATGCTTCACTCTTGGAGGGCTGCAACTGCAGATTATATTCATAATTTGTTGTTTGGTCCTTTAACTGTCAGATAATAAAAGGGTTGAACACATGTCAATTTTATTTAACACTTGAATAGAGGCATTTTTCAACCACAGAGCATCCCATAATCAAATACAGTAGAAGCAGATTGTAACTGTAACTTACTGACCTCTGTGTTTGATATGAAACAGGAGTCCCATGGGTCTGATTTTCTTCCACTAGACATCAGGGACCAAACCTGGCTCCAGCTAACAAACAAACATAGTCACAAACAGGTTTTTGGTATTATTACAGTAGGCTTTGAAGCTCTTTCCTTTTTATTCACATAAACTATTCACACACAATATGTTATTTTACTAAAGTACACAGGATCTTTTATGGAAGAAAATGTCAGTTTCACAATTAAAATATCCACCTCCTCTTGTTCTTGCACAACTGTGAGTATTTATAGAACCTAGAGTAGCACAAATGTTGGTGTTTCCCAGGCAGCATGCTAATAGAAGCTGCTGACTGTGCAGTCTATCCAGATAAGAGGATTACTCATCAACATCATCTGTTCAGATAGAGAGATCATTATTTAGATCAGATGAAAGTTTCTCAACTTTAGTTTGGAACATACAGAAACAGAAATGCCTGGCTCTGCCGAAAAATAAATAAATATTTGGGTTAAGCAAACAGGATATGATATGTAGCGCTGCATTATTAATTAATTTATCGAATATTAATCACAATCATGATTTTGGCTTCCCACAATTAAATGAATGTGATCGTCTATGATATTGATGTTTAAAATGTGTGATGACTCATAGAAAACTCTACTGCATATCAAAGCCAGCCGCCACGGGTTATCAAGATGTTTTGGTTCCACTTTCGGGGAGCTGTCCCATTGCTGCGTGTGCACCCTGCAGCCTCGATACTTTTATTCCTGGAAGAAAATGGTCTACTAAGTTATTGCGAATTACATCTGAACTTTTCCTACTGCTGCAGCGTCACATTTAAAGCATTTAACTGGTAAAACACGAGTTCACTTTTATTTTATATTATTATATTATTATTTTATAATGAATCATTCTTTTTGAACGACTCTTAAAGAGGAAGGAGTCAACTCGATTTGCAAGCAGAAGTGAATCCAAAAATCCTGCTTATGTGCATAAGAGCCAAGTTAACGTCCAACTCGGAGTCAGAGAAAAATATAGAACCAAAAGAGTTGTTCACTAGTGGCGGTGAGTGAAAAAAGAACCGTTCTTCTCAACACTATTGTTTAGTTATATAACCAAGAAATGTTAGTCTCAATCTCCATTGTATTTCATTTTCATTGATACTGCAGCCCAATTCAACATACTGCCCAGTTTATACACCTCTTACTGTACAACTCAACAGAACTTTCTCTCTTTGTTATCAGGACTCACTGTTGTTGAAGTAAGATACTGGCTTGGTCTGGTGCCATAACAGAGAACAAGGTTGACTTTTTTATAATTTGTATGAATTATTAATTAATTTGGACTAAGAATAGAAGTTGGTGTTTTTACTGTTTGCAATTTTAATATCTCTGAACAGAGCCAGGCTAGCAGGTTCCACCGTGCATGCATTCTTATGCTAAGCTAAACTTAAGCTAAACCCACCCCATTGTGTTTTGTCCAGTAAGAGTTGAGCAAACCTCGGTCAGAACCACAGTCACCTTTTTTCATTTGTGCACCAAGGTATGCTATGTGCTAGGCTCATCTGTGTTGAAATGACAAGATAAAAGGAACATATAGGCTATATATCACATCTTAAGTCCAGTGTTTAACATTTAGGAGGCTCTATAGGCAGAAATTGAATAAAATATTAATAGGTATGTGTGTAATAACCTGAAAATAAGAATCATTATGTTTTTGTTACCTTAGAATGAGCCGTTGCAGATGCCTTCCATGCAGTCCACCATGTTGTATCTTTATCTTTCTACAGTAGCCCACAAACCAAACACTGACTAGATAGTGGCGTTTGCGTTTTTCACAGCCACCATAGCTTCTCTCTTGCTCTTAAAAGGGGAGGGTGAAGCGAGCGAGTTGCAATCTGCAACTATACCACTAGATGCCACTATATCCTACTCACTGGACCTGATAGCTGGCAAATGTTAGCAAAACACTATCTAACTAGCTATCTAATATATTATCTTTAACCACCTTCAAAATGTGATTGACTTTTCAACAAAGACGAGCCCAGCACATACCAAAGGGACTTGGGAAGGGTCCGTTTTCACCTGAAACTGTTGAGTGACATTTCTGAAACGTCTTCTGGCATTTCTGTTACTGTAAGCATGAATGGTGACAGCAGATGTTCAGCTAAGTACACAGTGACAAGTTGCTGAGGTACAGCGGCCTGACTCGGCACAATGTTGACCTCTGAGTGATCTAACATGAACACAAACACAGGATATTTTTGTGTGATTGTATATTTTAAGCACCATTGCACCAAGATAAATTCCTTGTATGTGTAAAAACCTACCTGGCAATAAATCTCATTCTGATTCTGATTCTGATAAATAACACACGCAGCAGACAAATGATTCAGTGCCTCTCACTGATCAGTGTCCAAATACGCAAAAGGAAAAGTGTTGGAAAGGACCAGAGGGTCTTTGGATGAGCAACACTCAGCACACACATCCATACAGACACACAGGGTTGAATGGGTCTCCTGGATTAACAGCAGTGACTCAGTGTTATTGACCCCGGGGCCGTCTAATAGTCTGTAAACCTCTGTTTGCTAGCATTTGACTGTTTGTTGGATTGGAACGCACAGGGTGTTCAAGGAGACTCTTGAGCGTAGCTTGTGTGAGTCACACTTTCCCACACACACACACACACACACACACACCCCTCCCTTCCCCAGCCTGTCCCGACCTATGGGGTGCAAGTCGTGAGTTGCATTACCGCTGCAGTCTGCTCTGTTTGGATGAGGAAGGGAGCTTTATTACCACTTTGTGTCTCTGCAGCTCAACTCTTTTCTTGCATTGCATTGTATTACAAGCAGCGGTTGTCCTCTCAAGTCAACTGTTTGTCGTTGTTTTATGTGATATATGGACTGTCGTGCAAAAACACACATGTACGCTCCAACTCTGCAGAACGTTTGTTTTATATATAATGAGATTAGTCAAGGTCATATCGCCATAGAAAGCAAGGACACACTGTCTCTAAGAAGAGCAGCCGCAGTGTCCCCTCTGCTGCAGACACAGAGGGGGATGATCCAGGTTATCACACAAAACTGTGCTGTCCATCCTCTATCTCTCTATTATCCCTTCCTCATCTGCTCCTCCTGTTTGTCTCCACTTTCTCACCTTCACAAGGTCTGTGCCGCCTCCTCCTTTCGTCCAATTGGCTTTCCTCTCCTTCTCTTCCCCTCTTTCTCCATCCAATCCTCACTCTGGATCCCTATCTCTACTTGCTGTCTTGTCAGTGCAGAAGCTGCTTGCATGTCAACCTCTCTCAGGCTGTCTTTGGACAGCGATGGTGTTACATAACAGGCCTAACTTAATAAATCCTGTATGATGTGCTGTGATGTGCTTTAGTCTGTTGCGACAGTGGCCAGAGAACATGCTGCCTTCCAGAGCCTACGTCACACTGCGTAGAGTAGGATAGTAAAATCGTAAAACATAAAAAGAAAAATCCAATATCAGAACTATGTTACACAACAGGCAATGAATATGTATATACTGTTTTTCCAAATAATGTGTATGTTTAGTCTAGTAAGTTTGGAAGCCCATTTCCGCCAATGTGACGAGGAAAAAAAAGATTTTGTAAGCTAGTATTAATGAGAAACTTTCTCAAAATATTGACCTAGTATCTCAAAATAATCACTCTGTGATACTATGTCAGCTGCCATCCCTAAAAAATGCCTGCTGCCACCTCAGTTTGGTGTCAGACGCTATCAAATTTAACAAATTTACTTAGAATTTGATTTAATTATCTGTTATGGCCACATTTTAGACTTATTAGGGATAAATTGAATAAAAAAAGACCATATATATTTGGAAAAATGTCTGCAGATTCGAAAATTATATTCCCTGTTTGATCTAAACAGTCCCAGCAGCCAATCCGATTTAAGCAATGGCTGTAGGTTTGTCCCTATTTATCCGCCCTGCTCCCTGTGTTTCATCTTCCTCTCTTTGAATCACTCAGACTTTGATCATGACGATTCACATCACATGATACAGCAGACTGATAATTGATTGAAACTAAAGGATGTTAATGAAACAGGATTTGGAGGCATTAGGCCCATTTACTCTGAACATGTGCGGCACTCAAACCTGCCCGACATCTGTGTGTTCTTGTGCACAATGTGTTTTCCTCTGTGTATTCATGCCAGAGACCCGTACTATTGCTTTTTTGCAATGTTGAGGTTGAGGTGACGTAACAGGGAAAGCTGTGACCCAGTGTGACATCTGCACTGTCACAGCCAATGTAAATAACTACTTTCCCTTGATTAAAGTTTTATTAAAACATGGGTCTGATGGGTGCTGAAGCCTTTAACCTAGATCATTTCTCATGTATTTTGATTAGATTCCACACAAGTACGTTGGTCAACTGTCGTTGTTAATGATTGATAAAAATTGTGCATCTTTTTTGGGCTTCTGAATGGGGGATGAGGGAGGTTTGAGAACTGACTGTAGTGGGAGAGAGGACTGGAGTCCGTCAGCGTGTAGAGGTGTTACAGCAGGAAGTGACTTACAGCTGGTGCCTTGCATTTACACACATGTAGTACACAAACCCAGCACTCAAGAGCCCACTGAGTTGTGTGTGATGCATTATTGATGTGAGTAATCCTCCTCCTTTCCCCTCCACGTGCTCTCTCCTTCTGTCTCTACGCGTCTCTCTCGTTCTCAACCCCACTATTTGCATTCAGCCTTTTCCAGCGTTGTACCGCTTGCTGGGGTCGCAGACAGGGGGGATAAATGATGAAATTTTTATAAGACGCTCTGTCCTCATCTCTCCGTCTCCAAACAGGCACATGGGAACTCTCACATGAGAACACACACACACGTCCTTACATGCAGATGAAAATGTCAGCTCCCTTTACTTACTTCTGGCGCTCTCACTGGTATTTGGCCTGAGATGAGACAGTTGAGCAATGATTGGTTTGTTCTCCCTCATGGCCGGCGGGTGATTGGCTGCTGAACCCTGATGTTCTGTCTATGCCAGCTAAGTGTCAGAGCTTGAGTCAGCAGTACCATGCTGCGTGCTGAGGCATCCAGAGCCCAACGCAGAGCAGTCAGCAAGACTGACTCCTTCTCCTCTGTATCATTATCGTCCTCTCTTGCTCTTGGTGAAACCTACATATGCAGTGCTCAGGAAACTGAGAACTTTGAATAATAAATCTGATGTATTGACCAGGAAGAGCATGCACTGCCCTGAGTCTTGAAATCAAATCCAGTTGTTTACATTCTTGGTATTCATCACAGGATGTCATTTCCACTCTCTCTCTCTCTCTCCAAAGCATAAAAATGCACATTCACTATAGATTAGGGGTGTAAGAAAATATCATATATATATATATATATATATTTTTTTTTTTTTTTTTTATTTTTTTTATTTTGTTATATAGTGTTAATTCTCAAAAACACTGTATGGATTTTTGGGGTTAAACCTCCAACAGAAAGCAGTGTTGCAGACTTAAACTGAGGACTGTGTTGTTGGATGTTACAGTGATAAATACAAATGCAGATCCCATTGTTCTGGTTGCATAAAAAGTTAGCTTTTTTTAGCTCAGATTTTATTCAAACTGTGGTGTGTTCTTTATCTTCTAATTTACAGCCTTATTATTACAGTTTTTGTCAAATTTAGATTTTTAAAATTAAATCGCAATATATCACAATATATTAAACCGGAACCCCTGTATGGTGATACGTATCGTATTGTGTGTGTGTAACTTCAGTAAACCCTGTTTTTTGTCTCTTTCTCAAGCACTTTCTCAGTCACTGCTTTTGTTGACTGCTCTCTCTTCTTTGTGTGTCTATCATCTCACCGGTCGTGTCTGTGTTTTCCATCCAGGCTCTGTGTTGTGCTGAAGAACGGAGAGACACAGTGAGGACAGAAGAAGCTAAAGGTTGCACAAGAGGCTGTTCGGCCCCCATGTCTGCCCCTGCTCCAGCCAATCGGAGGTCTGGGTTGGGCTCTCGCCGGTGGGTAGCCAATAAGGACCCATCACCTGTTTTTTTTTCTGTCTGTAAGAAAGCCACAGTTGAAAAGAATGCAAGGGACAAGTTGCTCAAGTTACTCCTTTATGAGGACTTCTATTTATCAAGTGTTTCAGAGCAGGAGCTCTAAGTGGCCAGAAATTCTTAGAGAGACACAACTTTGGTCCTATTTTTGGGACTAGGAGTAAAACTATTTCATCAAATTTCTGAACTGTGGAAATAGTGCTAAATACCACTGCTGATATTTGAGAGTCACCAGAACATAGAGGCAGAAACATACATGTGTTCTGTGGGAGGAGTGACATTCATTTATGATAACAGCAACACATGTTCCTCACAAATTTACAGCAACAGGGAAAATGTAGCTTTGCAGCAATGATGATTTGGGTCTGTAACAACCACAAATACAGCAGCAATAAATCAAACTTCATCAGATTAATTTCCACAAGCTGTTTCATATTGGTCATATTGTTACAGAAATGAGCAAATATCACTTACCTGTAAATTAAACCATTCTTGCAGTTAGCAGTCCTCCACCTCTTTGTTCTCTCTCCTGATTGGATAACATGGGAACGCTATACCAGAGAATTTACTCTGTTTATTGCAGGTAGGAGGGACTGGGACCCATGTTACTGACTGAACACTATCAATGATGGCTGTCAGAATGTCGAGCTATTTAACACTTATTTTAACAAAAATACAACAAACACCTTTAACAAGGAGTGTTGTTGGAATGGCAATTGGACAGTGGAAGTGCAGCACCATTGGCACATGTGCAATACTGCACAATATATGCAACATTCACTATATCCTGACAGTAGTACATAAGACAGATAATCTGTGACAAAATCAGGTTCCTCTGATTCCTTCTAGAGCTCCTAAAACCCTACCCCGCTTTATTGCCTATTTTACTCTAAATGGGACCATAATTTACTAAATGAACATCATGCTGTATGGAAGAAGACTTGAAAATAAGTAATTGAGACCATAAACTCATTAGGAAACCGTTAACTGAGCCAATAAATCAAGTGAGAAGTCAGGTCATTTCTCTCTAAGACTGCATGATATCAGTGTGTTATTGCAGCCCATGGAGCTGCCCCCTGCTCGCCATTACATACACTTCACAGACCTGTCCATTATATATACTGCAGATGGTTGTAAAACAGCAACAACACACTCTTTATCTGGAGTCCTTCTCCACTCTGAAAGTCAGTGAAAGAAGCTTCAGAAATTACTCTTACTGTTTATAGTCTTAATTCTGAGACACTTGATAGATACAGGTCCAGATGTTTCCTGTGGTGTGTATTAACTCATCCTACTTACTCACGTTTTCTACATGTTCTCTTCCTTGTATCAGCCTTTGTTGAGTTTCTCCATGTAGCGCAGTTATGTTGCGGATTTCCAAATTAACAAATGAACCCTGTGAGATGACCTATTTAGCACAAATTTTGTGTGTAAAGCCATACTCTGTGTGCTTTGTGTATGTCTGTGTGTAGCATAATTATTTCTAACCTAAACACTTTTTGAGCACAGCTGTCCTCCAATGTAACCAGCTGTTTGAAGAATCCTTACAGAGCTTGGTGCCACTTTCTAATTTGGGGCCTGTTTTAGAAGTTGTAACCAATGGCTTCATTAATGGTTAACAAATCTTTAACTAAAGCTTATAGATCAGTTCTTTCTCTATGAGAGATTGGGTTGCCAGGCTGGTGTTTATTCTTCTTCAGCAGGACTCTTGCTTTGTCTTTTTACCTTTAAGTTCATCAGGTGGACTGCTCCAGTGGACAGTCCGACCTCTGACCGTCCACAAAAGTACTGCAGAGCATCCGGATCACAGTTAATGACAACTTATTAACATTACTAATTACAAAAAAATATGATGTTTTATTGTGGGCTTTATTGTCTGCCAGAGGTGGGAAGTCATTGTTTTCTCAAGGCTTTAAATTCAAGTCCCGAGTCAAGACAGTCAAGTTCAAGTCAAGATGACAAGTCCCAAGTCCTAAACCAACAGAATGAACGGCCGTTAGTTCCTCTCCTCTCTTGCATCTACATTGAATGCTGTTGGATAGGTTTAAACCAAGTGAATCTGGGGGATTAAGAGTCAACTTGCTGGGAATGAATAGCGTTTGATCCGGAAATGAAGGAACATTAATTGATTTGTGGCAGACTTTTTAAACAGCTTATTAAGTATCTCTCACATGAGTCTGACCCATGTCCAAGTCATGTTCCCGGAGTCCACTCCCAAAAGTTGTTCTAATCAATGGCTTATAACTCATAAAGCATTAGTAAGTTGTTTTTTAAACATGAATAAAAACCCTGGCACCCTGAGCTCCTACTTGGCTCTCTCTTTTTCTATTCTGCTCTGCTGCAGCCATCGTTGTGTCAGCATTTTATCTCAGTTTGTTTCTGTATGGTTTTAAATTAGCTCTAATGATCCTGATGGAGGCGCCAGGCTGTTATTGACAAGAAGAGGGACTTAAAATAAACTAGATGTGGTCAGCCGCCTCCTACACACTGACCAGTGAACAGCAAGTTTACTGCAACCAGTTTTATTGAGTGTATTGATGTGTTCTCTCCTACAGCTACTGGCCTGTTTACTGGACACAGGTTAAAGGATACGGCTGTATTATTGAGGTTTTGTTGTCTATATGGACCAGTGATTACTTTTTCCACATCCATTAAGCCACTTTGAGAGAATGTGTGTTTTATACCCAATGTACACAATATGATTGTTGGGCATTGATTGAGCATACCTCTGGGGTCCAGTTTTACACAGTCACTATTTTAATACTATGAAGAGCCTATTTGGCTTTGACATTGGCTGGTGAGCTTAGGTATCACGTAGTTCCACTGTATTGCCAAAAGTCTACTTGTAAGAACTGTGTTGAGTGATTTAAAGAGTTTTAATCAGTAGTCTCATCCAGATGTTTCAAGTTTATGTGTGGGTCAAAGACAGATAACTGCCTTTCTAAAGCCAAGGCATCTGATTAGTGCTTGTATTGGTTTTATTGGTAATGTGTAGCTACAGACAGTCCAATCTGTAGCTATGGTGTCCTCCTCTCTCTCGTCTCTTTTCCTCAGATTCAACCCTCTGAAGGCGCTGCAGCCCAAACGCCGCTTGCAGCAAATACTGGCGTCCTCGCCCGTCCCTGTGCCCAAGCCGGCGTCGGGGACGGCTGTGCCAGGGGCCACGGCACCGGTGGCAATTCCTGTGCCAGCGCCCCCTGCGTGAGACTCACTTCAGTTACAGTCTCAGACAGCATGCTCCGTAGCTGTATCTGTAGCTCCGGCATGCACTGTAGCCACTAAAACAAGACCAACTACAACACACAGGCAACATTTATGCTACCTGTCTCACGGATTACACGGTTTTCTGTCCATTATCATATTGTCCGTTTGCTAAGCTCCGCCCCCTTACTTTGTGTTTCTACACTTGTCAAGCCTTAAATTCACTTATGTTTATAATGATGACATGGCAGACTTCCATTAAAAGTCTTTCTCTCGTATATCAGCTGAAAATTGAATCAGCTGGAGCCAGCTAGTTCATTAAAGCAGCGGTTTCCAACCAGAGGTTTGGGATATTGAAGCCTAGTGAACTGATTGCAGCTAATGTTACAGCAGATAAACACACTATTTAATCTAGTTCTTACATTTCTTCTCTTGTGTTTTTGGTTTTGGAAAGAAAAACACAAAATTTTAAATAGTGCCAATAGTGGGACAGGGAATTCAGTACCGAGGTGGTTTTGTTTGCCGGTTTCTAACATTACTATCGGTGACAGTTATCTTCTTTTAGCAACAAGTCCATCTGGAACCTCCGTATGTCACCTCAGTACCGCTGTTGTCAACTTTCTGTCTCGGAGGTTGTGTCCACTGGGAGGCTGCTGAGCCCCGTTCAGTTACATGTAACAGCAGCTACAGCAGCAGTTAACATTTAGCGAGTTATCATATTTAATTTTACAGGAAGAGAAAATCAACGGATTTTGATTTAAAAAAAAAAGAAATTTAGCTTTTGTTGATTTTTAGCATACATTGTTAAATATGGGTCCTCTATAACTTAAGGTGCAATCTCAAAGGATTAAAATTAAATTTTTATTTCACCTGGACTTAGAACCAGAGTATCTCTCTTGCTACAGCCCATTGCTACAGCCCCATATGCACGACGTTTTAGTATGTGGAGAAATCCAAAGGTCTGCCATGACCAGTTACAGCTGTTAAGCAATGATTGGCGGGGTTTAGTGAACGGTCAATTGCTGCAGTGCCGACCTGCCTACCTGATTTAAAATATCCTTCAGAAAACCCACTATAAATAACATGAAAACAACACTGGGATCCCAACCGGAGCTCTCAGTGTTCATACTCAGCTTAGAAGTTGGCATCAACAACAGCAAACAGCACAGACGTCTGTGAGTGTTGTTGTGTCATGTCACCTCTGAGACTATTGATGTCCAGGCAGGAAAAACCAAGGAAAATCCTGATGTACAGGTGTGCACTTGCATACACACCTGACATATGCACATTAGTAGAGTCACTAGGTAAATTTGTACACTATAATTGGAGGATTTGTACAAATCCTGGTCCTGGATGGTCCTGAAGTTGTGTTTAGAGGCTACATGCACGGTAGAAAAAACACCACATCATTGTGCTATGGAAGCATACTGTGATCACTAGTGATCACTGGTCACCACAGCCGCAATGAACAGCACCATGTTTTTTTTACAAACAACAGTTCAACAGCAGAGAGTTGGTGAGACATCGACATTGCCTGAATGTTGTTTTTGGTTTACTTAAAAATAAGATGTGGTTTATTTTATTAATAATTTCAGCTTCTTAAGCAAAGTCTCCTGAAACAAACCACAGCGGAAAGCAATATCTGTCCCACCCCCCACCCACACACACACACTAACCAGCACCTGACTCCTGAGCAACACTCCTGAAGACTACCTCCACCACCACCACAGTCCATCCCATCCAGTTCCATCCCAGCAGATGGACTGGACAGACTGTCAAACCTGAAACACTGTTGTACTGTATTCGGTCCCTCTCCAGGCTCACTGCTTCAGCTGCTTCCCTCTGCCTGTTTCTGTTCTGTCTTGGCTTTTGTCATATATTGATCTCCGAAGAACCACTGAGCAGTCAATATCTGGCCTCCTCCCTTATTGCATCACACAGGACACGTTTCCTTAGTACAACCTTAGCTTGAAACTTGGGGAAGTGAGTTAGCTCGAAAAAATGGCTATGCTTTCACAAAGAAGTGAGAATTACACATCATTGTGTTTGTGTGTCAAATATATCTCCAGTGAATTGTTTAACATGCCTGGTTTGCTTGATTGGAATTGCTTCAAAGAGGTTGTTGTTGGCTCCATGTAATGGCTGCTAAAATAAAATGGAAAAAGTCACGAAATGAAAAAAACTTTCTCAGTAATGTCCATTATATAGCTATATCTCGCTAGTTTGCTAGCATAAGCTAACTTCAGTCGCCATAGCCTACTGCACATACAACGGCCAATTATTCTGAAACCTCAATAGTCCGGAAAATGTCCCATTGGACTGAAAGCCCAGATGTCCTTCAACCAGTTATTCCGAAAACAAGAACCCACTGCTCCGAAGGCCAATTTTTCCAAAATTAGTTTTTTGCCCTTATTATCACCGTTACAATAATAAACATATGTAAAAATGTGTGAAACAATTGCTGTTGGGTCAGGCTTAGGCATCAAAACTACTTGGTTTGGTTTAGGTTTAGGAAAAGATAATGGTTTGGGTTCAGATATGTTACTTACATCAGTGAAGTTATGTACATAAGTTGGTGATACCTTTGGAATAATAGACTGTCACACAAATGGAATAGGACATTTTTCAGACTGTTGGGATTTTGGAATAATGGGCCTTCAGAGCACTGACATGGCACCCATACCAGACCAGCTGTAGCTGAGTGTATTGAACTGAGCAACTGTGCGTTGTATTGCTAATGAATCTTTCTATCTTTTAAAAATTACAAAGTCTCACTTATTGGTCGGACAGTTTGCACGGTGAAAAGGTTCTAGCAAGTTGAAGTTTAAGTATAAGGTCACTGAGTTGGGTGTGTTTGTGTTTCGGATCTCAGTGTGGTGCCGTGGTGTTATTGTGTCCTGTGTGAAAATCCCTCATGGCTGCTCTGATTGGTCCTGCTTGTCCCCTCCTTCCTCTGCAGAGGCCAGTGACTGGGCAACAGTCATGTCCTTTTTAAAGTTAGGTCATTACAACATTTGATATGTGTCACTCAATATCACTGCACAATATTGATTATCAGCAAGGAAAGTCTTGACAGAAGTTGCCCATCACAGATCACCCTTCCTTTTCGTGGCTACCACTGATATAACTGTACTGTGATACTCAACAATTTTATGTTCGTTAGCAGGATAGTAATGGTTAGGGTTAAATATGTATTTGTTTTTTTCAACATTATTGTTTGAATAATATATGTGGTTTTACCTGGTCTCTAAGCGGATTTTTGCAAATGTGTACATTATCTGACATTGATTAGTTCAAAGGAATAGTTTAGAACCTAGTTGCTGGTTCTAGTCTTTATGCTAAGCTAATCTAATTTGCCCCTAGGTCTAACTTTGCATTAAGACATGAGAGTAGATTAGATCTTTTCATCTAACGCTTTGCACAAAAGTGAATAAGTATATTTACCAAAATGTTGTTCAGTAAAATGTTAAGACGTTATGAGTTTGAATCTGCCCTCACAGTGCAGGGCAGGAGCAGTCTAACTTCTTTGGTGTTTTCAGCAGTGGAATAAGAACGATGTCTTCTCTGGTGGTGTGTGGAGTGGAAGAAATGCAGGGATGTCAGATAGAAAGCAAATATAACTTCCTGATGAGAGTCATGATGTACTGTCATGTTCTGACAATCTTTAGTGTTGTATCAGAGGTTTCAGAGGTTGAATTTATGTTTGATTATGTCTTTGATGTGTACCTAAATCTTGTCTGGATGGAAATGCTCTGGATGATAATACTCTTAAATACTAATGCCCCTTCTCTAAACATTCATTCATCAGTCTCAGAACATTTTACCTCTTGTGAATTGTATTTCAGGATGCAGATTGTTAGCCTCTGTGCCAGTAAAGGCCTCATAGCTGCAATTTACTTCACATAGATGTTTCATACATAGTAAAGCTTTTAGTGAGCCACCTCTCTTGGGCCCCGTCAGTGTTTGAGTGCTTGTTGATATTTAGCATCCTCCTGCCTGCAGCTCAGCCTCTGAATTAACTAGGTGAATCCCAAGACATGCTATATGCCAGACAGCTAGCTTTGTCTCACCTCAATAGTAAGCGTATGCACATTGTATCGTTCAGGTGGGGTCCTCTGCTGTCCTCTGTAATTTAACACCCTGTTGTCTCTGCCTGGTCAGGTTTGACTATTGCAGGTTCATTGAGCTAGACTACGTTCCCATGGAGACAGGCTATATGGTCTCAATGCGCCCGACTAAAGGCTATGCATCGACCAAGTCGCCGACTAAAGGATGCGCTTCCACCAAGTCTCCAGACCGCCACAGCCGCTCAACAAACTCTCCCTCCACCCCTCGTTCTCGGTCTGTTCTGAGTCCCTCTCCTCTCCTCCCGATCAGTGTTGACTCTCTGACGCATGGGAATGATGAGACCCTTTGCACTGTTGTGAATGTTTCATGATGTTATATTGTGGAAAACACCTGAGAGAATTGTTTCCATAGCATCATGTCAGGCCTGTTACTCCCTTCTTCTTTCCTCTTTGTTTGTTCTCTTTTCTTTTCTTCATACTCTTTAGCAAAAGCAATCCTCCCTTTATTTCTTTTGAGGAATGCTTGTTGCAATTATATCATTATGTGTCTAATTTGTTTTGAGTTTTGGTTTTCATCTTTGCAGAGCACATTCTCTTTTTTAAACCGTGTAACATCACTGTTAGTGCCCAAAGGAGTGTGTGTCCTTGTTTCTAAAACAGAACTGTTGTCTGTTAGCAGTGACTTTGTCCTGTATTTGTAATGTGACTGTGTATTTATCTGTGCATATCTGTGTTGTATTGGCATGTTAGTGGACCTGGATTGACGTTTGCTCCATTTGTCTATTTTGATTTGTGGTGTCATTTGTGGTTTAGCTCAACAGCTCACAGAATTCACTGTCACCTCTGGAGTGTGGTTTCATGTTGTTACCAGGAACAGATTAACATGTATCCTCTTACTTTGGACCAGGCGGACACCAGCCGCGCCCAGTAACAGAGATCCCTATGGCAACGCCTCCATCAGCAGTGGCAGCAACTCAGGCTCTTGTAAAGGCAGCGACTGCAGCCCCACCAAAGGGTAAGGCATCAGAAACTGCATGGCCTGTTCTCTAACTCAGTGCCCATGTCCGACGCACTCCCTAGAATGATTGAATGATCCATTTATAGAATAGAAACTGAAACTTTGAGTGACTTCCTCACCTTCCTCGCCAGTAAAAACAGAACTTGATCTAAATCAATGAAAATGAGATGTGGGGGGAAAATCAGAGGCCTGGAATCGAGCTCCAGTTTTATAGCTTTTTGTGTTTCTTTTTCAACACAAGCAAAAGCATTTACCACACATTTTCAGTCTTTTAAAGCTGCTGTAGTCAATATTTTTTCTAATAATGGCGGATCAAACTACTGTGTGTTATGTAAAAGTTGTTGCTCAAGAAATCAACTCGTCCAACTCTGCAGTTTCCCTCAGCTCTCAGTTTTAGTGTTTTTTATAAGTGGGTTAAGTGATACTAGCGAAATTCAATATTGTGAAAAATACCATATATATATATATATATATATATAGATAGATACAGAGTGAACAACGACACAGCAAGTAATGTTACTAAAGTTGGCTATGTTGTGGATTAGCAAAGTATCGCTACTGCGCAGCAACATGGAGAGAGGACGAAAAGGTTTCCCAAAGTCAGCACACCAGCTCCAGACAGCGAGACTCACAACAACACTACATCACAACAACAGAATGTGTTGGCTAACTAGACAGTAAGATGAATATCTTTGGGCAAGTCATTTAACGTTACCTGGCACAAAAAGCCTGGCTGATATGACAGGTTAGTGTTGTGTGGCTCTGTCCGTTTTTTTAGGGGAACACCAACACAGCTTCAAATGAATACAAATGTTGCTCTGTGTTTGATGGACATAAGCCACTGTGCCAATATGTTGGCCATATCAATTTTCAATTCAATTCAGTTTTATTTGTATAGCGCCAATTCATAACAAAAGTTATCTCAGGACACTTTTCAAATAGAGCCGGTCTAGACTGTACTCCAGTGAGTACTATCAACCCCACATCAACTATATGTGGTGTTAATAAGCCATTGAGAAAAGACAGAAAGAAGAGAAGAGAAGATAAAGATATTTTCTGCCCCCAAGCGACCAAAAGAAATTAATTAATTTAGGTTTAAAAGGATGAAACTGGCAAATCATTCTATTTAAATCAGGGACTATCTGATAGACGGATAAATGAACAAGGTTACAAACCTGACCATGTGTTCAATGCCAGCTTTCTGTACTTGACAGTTTTTGATGACACATTTTGGTCATTAAAATAATCCCCAATTCCTCACTGGAGGGAAATCAGTTCTAAATAAAAACACCTTTCATATTCTTGTGTCCTAGACGTCATCAGAAGTACACGTCATGTACAGACAACCATGGTATCCGGCCCCCTCCACCAGAGCAGTATCTCACACCCCTGCAACAGAAAGAGGTCTGTATCCGACACCTGCGGGCCAGGCTAAAGGAAACAATCAACACTCTGCAAGACAGGTGAGATACTGTGCTAGAAAGAGAGATTATCATCATTGGCCAGAAAGTCAGTTCTTATATTGCCTGACTTGTTCTTTACACGTTCTAACCATACCCTTTCCCTGAGCCTGATATCTCTATCCTTCTACTTCTCTTGTTCTCTCAATTTCTCTTTTGTTCTTTCTTTCTCCCTTTCCTCCTCTCTATTTTGACCCTCTTAGGGACACAGAGATAGATGAGCTGAGAGGCCAGCTCTACAGGATGCAGGAGGACTGGGTTGAAGAGGAATGTCACCGTGTAGAGGCTCAGCTGGCCCTGAAGGAGGCACGTCAGGAGATCCAGCAGCTCAAACAGGCTGTGGACACTGTTCGGGCCAGGCTCAGTGATGCTGGGGGGCTCAGCGGGGACATAGGGGTCCAGAAGTATTTCCAGGACATCAACACTCAGAATCACAAGCTTGAGAACCTTTTGCTCAACATGGAGATAGCCCAGGCTGGATTAGCCAAGGAGGGGGAAGCCATACCAGGCTGCCGGAGCCGTGTTGGGGGTTCAGCACCAGCATCAGTTTCAGGGGAAAGTCCAGGGGGAATACCCAAACCAGCAGTAGGAGGGAGGGGTTCTTGCTCCTGTGATGGTTCCCCAGCCCGTTCTCTGACCCGGAGCTCCACCTACACTAAGCTGAGTGATCAGGCGCTGGTGGACCGGAATGGTAATGGTGCAGACTTTCCTTGTCTGTCTGGTGATGGCACCCAGGACAGTGGCTTTGTGTGCTGTGGGGAGAGCAGTGTACCCAGCCGGGCCGACCTGCTGCTGGAGGCCGCCTTCCTCTCTGAGGAAACAGCATCTTTACTCAACTCCTACACACAGACCTTTTCCCACTCTCTGCCCGGCACTCTGCCCCACTCTCTACCCAACTCTCTGCCCCACTCTCTGCCCCACTCTCTGCCCCACTCTCTGCCCCACTCTCTGCCTAACTCTCTACCCAACTCTCTGCCCCACTCTCTGCCTAACTCTCTGCCCCACTCTCTGCCTAACTCTCTGCCTCACACTTACTCCCATACCTTACCTCATTCTTTCCCCCACAATTTGTCCCACTCAGTGCCCCACACTATGCCACACTCCTCCACCTATGAGAAGCTGTGCACAGGCGACCGACTGGCACCCTTTCGTTGCGGCCTGGGTGGAGTGGGCTGTATGAGCCATCCATGCCTGTCCCACCACCACCTCTACCTTCACCCCTTGCGGGAAACAGGCATTCAGACCGAAAGTTGCCCCATCCCTGCAACAGCAGGTTACCCCTCTGATCTGGATACCATTGCAGAGCAACGCACTTTCCGCTCCCAGGCCTGCAGCCCCACCTCCACCTGGATGTCTGATGAGGGAGAGGAAGAGCTGGACTCCGTCACCACCACAACTTCAGTAACCACAGCGACAGTCATGAGTACAGCCACAGAGCCAATTCCAGTCTCCAAAACGCCGCTGGTCCCTCCCCTACCACGATCTGCTACTGTGGCATGTTCCATGGAAAGTTCTTTGTGTGAGGGGAAAGAGGGAGTGGAAGAAGAGGAAAAGCAGGAGAAAGAGAAGAGAGAGAAGGAAGCTGTCACAACGGAAAAGCTGGAGGAAACAACAGTGATAAGACTGGCAGAAGAAGGGCAGCAGATGCAGATGGGCTCAAATGAGTTGGACATTCAGGGTGCAGTGGAGGAGGCAGAACCAGAAAAACTGTGCAATTTAGCAGAGACATCAGCAGGGACAGATGGTGAGCTTACGTTTGGAGGATGCTGTGGAGAAGGGAGACAGGTTGGGACAACACTTGAAAACCACCCTGCGGAAGACAGGCAACTAGAGGATGGTCTATCGGCAGGCTCAACCCCGGTAGAGGCAGCAGATCCGAGGCCAAGTCGCCCAAGATTATCACCAGAAATAGAGCAGCCTCACACCTCCCAGCCGAGATCTATTTCCCACGAAGAGATAGCTGGTGTCACTGTAGTTGAGGTCCATGATGAGGATGATGATGACGATGAAACTGAAGAACAAGGCGCCACAGGAAGCGCTGCAGCAGATGGGGGAGATCCGTCTGGCTCTGGGACAATTGAGAAAAGCTACTGGAGCCGTCACTTCCTGGTCGATCTGCTAGCAGTGGCCATCCCTGTTGTGCCAACAGTGGCGTGGCTCTGCCGTGGCCCAGTCCGTAGTGGACAGCCAATGTACCATATAGGGTCGCTGCTGCGAGGCTGTTGCACTGTGGCGCTGCATTCGCTGCGCAGAGGAGGTGGGTTGAGGCATTACCCCGCAGGCGGGGGAGACCTGGGCGGATCACTGATATGAGGGGAATCTGTTCAGCACCTCTGTTCTGTTTGGTCCTGCTCCTTATTGTCTCTCGCCCATTGGTCCTTGCTGTTGCTACCAAGATGTCTGCTAACATTACTGACTTGTGCAAAACTGAATGAGCTGATTGAAATGAATGATCTATGCTTGGATATTTAACACACTGATTGTTTTCTTTTAAATGCAGGGGAATGTTCAAGGTTCATTGATTTGTCAACTTACCAGTCTGACTCAATTCTGACATGTTCAAATTATCCTGTATTGATGAGCGTGTACATGAAATATGGTATGTGTATGTATGCTCATTGACCAGTGACTGAGGGCAAATCCACCCTCATTCAGAATTCGCATGACTGGAGAACGTTTGGGCTTCTCTTTGAGTCTTTGACGTCTTCAAAACTGAAAAGATGGAGCTTATCTGCTATCAACAACGCAGACACAGAACTCAGGTTCACTCTAAGGGTAGAAACACACCAAAACAGACTGCGTCAAGGCAGAACTATAAGAATTATCAATCAGTCGTGCTGTTAAGCCAAACACAGTGTACTGCAGCTCACATTGTTGTTTCTGTTCATGCCAGGCACGTTGTACAGATTCAGCGTTTCTTTGTCTGAGCCCCCTGCATTGGCACCCTAGCTCTGCAGCTGGATTGGCCTCATTCAAATGAATGATGGTTTGCATTTTTGCAAGGCTAAAGTCAGTCTGAACAACATCTCACTGCCCAAACAATCAACATCAGTGTTAGATGATAGTTAGAAATTTGTATTTTAATCGGTTTGAGCTGTTCCCACATGGCTACTGTCAAAAGATCTGTAAACTGAAGTGAACTAAAACAAAGCTGGATCCAGCAGGCAATGCCCAGCAACCAAGCCTAACTTCACACCCAATCTGCCCAATTCTAAACAAAAGAAATAATTGTATTAATAAGATGTGAGGGATTTGTTGCTTTTACACTGTGTCTGGTGTGTTTCTACTCTGAGAGTATATGATTACATCTCTAGAACCCAAACAAAGCTGATGCAAAAACTCAAGATCAGTGAATCCTTTTATCTTCTGTGTGCACAGCGTCCCTCTGGGTATTGATTCTGCAGTTAGCCACGGCAGACATATTTTCTACTCCTTCTCTATTTCAACCATTAAAGGAATGGTCTGACATTTTGGGCACATGCTTATATGCTTTCTTGCAGAGTTTGATGAGAAGATCGATGCCACTCTCATGTCTTTACACTAAATACGAAGCTACTGCGAGAAGGTGATTAGCGTAGCTTAGCATAAAGACTGGAAGCAGGGAAAAACAGCTAGCCTGGTTCTGTCCCAAATTCACCTACTAGCACCTCTAAAGCTTACGAATTAAATTAAATCTTGTTTAAATTGTACGCAACCAAAGTGTAAGACTCATTGTGTTTTTTTGCAGGAAGCTACGTACTGGAACTCTTTCTTCCCTCATAGGACCAGTGTGTAGAATTTAGTGGCATCTAGCAGTGTAGTTGCAGATTGCAGCTCCTTCGCTTCACCTTCCCCTTGTAAATAATGCGAATGCCCCTATTTAGAGCCAGGGTTTGGTTTGTCCCTTCTGGGCTACTGTGGAAACATGGTGGACTCCATGGAAGGCAGGTCTGTAGATATAAACAGCTAACTATAGCTAAAATAAAATTTTTCTCTACTATTTTCAATTTCTGCCAATAGATCCTCCTAAATGTTACACACTGGACCTTTAACAACAGCTCTCAGCCACTTTGTTTGTGTTGTCTCTTTTTTTAACATATTTTCATCACAGCCTTTGTTCTTTGGTTTCAGGCTACAAGAGAGAGTAATAAGACAACATGGACATAGGGGTGTCGCAATATACTATTGTTAAAGATAATTGTAATATTTAAAACTGAAATATTCATATTGTGTTAACACATATAATATTGTGTAAATAATCCAGTGCTGATAGCATTATTTGTTTATTTTCTTGAATTTTCTATAGATATCGCGATAATATCGTAAATTGTTTTGGCCACGATAATCGTGTAGTAAAAATCTGAAATCATGACAGCCCTACGTGGATATTATGTCTTAGGGTGGACTCCTATACTCACGGTTGGTTATTGTACCCCTAAACCTTTGTTGGAAGCAACCTCAGCTGAAACTCAATTTGGGTTATTTCATTTCACATAACACACATAGGAAATCCGTTCATAAAATCTAATAGTGAAGTCATGATCAAACACTTGTTTGTAGATACTCACTGGCTCAGTTTGACACTTTGATGCAGATCTGAATGAAGTGAGTTGTGCTCAGTCTGTGCTCTGTGCTGTATATTTCTGCTAACTTAATGTTCTTGTGGTGTAGTTTAATTGTCACTCTGGTAGTGTGTATTTCAAGTCCACTGTACAAGAGTTAGTCAGTCACTGCAAAAAAAAGTTAACTTTCTTTTTATTCTGCAAAGCATTTCTTGTAATTGCATTATGGATCAGGATTGTTTGAATGTGCTTTTCCAGAGGACTTTGATGAAAGTGGCATCTGATGGCAATTTATTCTGTTTGCTGATGTTTAACTTATAAATAATAAGGGCAAATAAGCAGCCTGCAACTGTAAAATCAAAATACGTCTTGACTTTCAGAGACTCGCGAGCCAAACGTGGATCGAGAAACACCCCGACACAACCAGCAGAAATAGTCTGACACCAACTGAATTGTTCAGTTCTTTGGTGAAGAGATAAGCAGCATGAATCTTTTTGTTCTTACTATTTGTTTGACATATTTTGCACTATTGTTCACTTTATGAATTTTAAGCAATTACTTGAAGTCGAGATTGTATGTGTATCCAAAGGGTTGTATGTCCACTGAGTTCTGACTGATTGGGGTGTTTGCCCTTCCTAAATCCCGCCCTTTTTTGCTTTGTGCTCCAATAACAGTTGAGCAAGCCTCTGTCACAACCTCGGTCAACTTCCTCCTTTCCTGTACTGAGATATGCTATGTGCTAGGCTAATCTACGTTGAAAAGACAAACACATTTTGAAGATGGTTAAAAGATAAAAGAGAGACATATATATATATAATATCACATCTTAAGTTAGCTAATGTTAGCAAAAATGGGCGGGACTTAGGAAGGCTCAATTTAGTTTGACATTTAGAGTGTTTAAGTGAAACAGGTGACATGTAACTAAGATAATGCAGACATTTCAGGTAGATACTTAAAAATACTACTACAATATATTTAATAATTTCTGTGAATACTGTAAAGCAGCTGCCTTTCATCCATGATAAGAGCTATTGATCTCAGCTCTTTACATTTTGACCACAATGTGTATCTACAGGCCATACAAAATAATGGACTTTTAAGTCTAATGCTGTTGTAAAAAAAAGACACACTGGTAAAGAATGAGCCGTGTTTATGCTTCAAATTATATAACTGTCAGACGTCAGTGACAATCATGACAATCCCTGTCTGTGTTTGGGTTTCACTTCATCGATCTGAGGGATCCACAGCGGCGGCACCGGCGGCCATTATCAATGCATTAAGAGCTGTGAAAAGACTGAGTGAATGCCTTGGAGACACACGGTCTCTTCTCCGCTTACTTTGCCACATTTGCTCATTTTCCTTGTTCTCATGAGTTGTGTGCACTAGCTATGTTTCCATTTCCTGGAACTGTGTGAACTGCTTGACATGAAGTGGATTAGGAGGCTAAAACAATTTCATGTTTTACAAAAAGCCATATAATCCTGTGGGGGAACAGGTGTGAGAATGTCGGAGGCAGCCTCCTCCTCTCTATATTATTGTATTGTGAAAAAAAATCTCTTAATAATGAAAGTCATGTGAGTGATAACTGCTGTTTGTCAGCACAATACTTTGATTTCAGTCATTCAGACTCTCATGCTGTCGTTAAACACAGGCTGCTGCTGTAACAGATACAGGGTGACAGAGGAAAGAAAGGCCAGATTTAGTGAACTTGTGATGTATAAAGAGGTCCAGGCTTGTTGTGGGTAGCAACAATCATCTCAGCCCCTTCATCTATCTATGCACAACACTCTACACTATAGCTGCATTATGTTTTCATGTATGTGTGTTTCTGATAATTCTATTACTAAACTGTAGTGCATTGTTGTTATAGGTAGTATTGTTATACGGAGCTCCCCCAAAGTCCTGAAAGATGATTTTTTAAATTTTGTGTGCGTTGGATCTTGTGCACATTATCTTGTCAGAAGTTTTTATCTTGGTTGCTAATAAGATAAAAACTTGTCACAATTTGACATCTTGTGCTCACAAGTTTTTATTATGTTCTTCTACGCAAATAACATTATTCTGTATTCTGTAAGTTATGTATCTAATGTATCGCTCATAGTTACCATTTAATATATTGTGCTCACAAGTTATTGTCTTGGAAGAAGATTTAATGTTGTGTGCACTCGATCAGTTAATTCCCAACCACTGTAACACCTGAACTTGTTACATTACTAGCAAGCAAAGAATTGAATAAATGATAGCTAATTTCCATCTCACTGTATTTCAACTATTTATCCATAACTTCTATTAGTAATGCTTAAATGGTTAAATGTGCTACAAGGAATTTTCAACTGGTTATGAAACTGTCTCAATTTAATACTGATGCCTCTATATGAGCTACATAAACAAACAAGACCATCCAAAACAAGATATTAGCTATTTCTATATAGTTACTTTTATTGCATGACACCGGGTCCGATTCCCATTTAAATCAATAAAACAAGGTGGTAGAAACACTACTGCTATTATCCACAGGGGGCGCCAGAATCAAAACAAAATTAAATTTTCTTATAGGGGCTTTAAATAGACAGGTAAAATGTATTGATATGGTTGAAATTGTCTAACTTAACGTAATGGATAGTTGAAATAGTGAGCTAAAAGTATTAAATGCCAAGTTGTTCAAATAATAATCTGTGCACAATGTGAAAGAATGAAGATAAGTTCTCAGAAGCTGACAAAATTAAAAAGAAAATGTCAGGACTTTGGGGCCTCTGTACTCAATAGCTTTTTGTCCTTTGCTTTGATGTATGTTGGTGTTTCTAACAGGCCTGTATTACACCTTTATGTCTTCACTTACTAGTTCTAAAGAGGTTTGGTGAACATAATGACATCCTTGTCATTTTGTCTCCTACACTTTTCCAGTTCTATGGGTAACAAAATGCCCTTGTTTGAGTCAGTCCAGTACTCTCCCGTGTTCAATGCTTCAGTTCCAGCAGTGGCTGGAGACTCATCAGGGTGTGATTGATTCATTCATTAAAAGTTCAATCTGACTCTGCTCCCATCAGTCTTTACCATACTGCACTTTATCAAAACCCATTCCGAGATTATCGCAAAGCCAAGGAGGCCATTATCCCGAGAGTGTCCTACTCTGCAAGAACGTCGTCGTGCCTCACAGTGACCCGGTTTTCTATTTCTGTCCCATAATACACCTAAACTTCCTGCTGTAGTGTACGGTTGTGCCAGTGTACAGTATGTGGGTGGAGGGGGGTGACTGATTATATACTACGTATATCCTTAGACACATAATGCTGAATATTTCTGGGGAAGACAGGAGGAGGTGGGGGGTGTTTTGCTTTTTTTTTTGGTCAGCATTTGAATGTGTATTGTCATTATATGCTTTATTCCTTGTCTGATTGTCTGAGTATGTGTTTCATGGCCTATGTAATGATAATTGATGTATACAGAGGTTATACCAAGTCCTTCAACATCCTACAATTGAGGACATTTAATGCCTTGTATAGGAATTCATCTGACATCATAGATATCTACAGATAACGTCATGTAAATTAACTATTTTAATGGCAATAGTAGTGTGTACAGTAAAATACATCAGTAGGCTACTTCTCCATTCACTCTCCCACCACACTGTATAAAGAAAGACCAAAAGCCCCTATATTAAACAGCATGGAGGAAACGTCTCTGTTGTCTTCATCTGTGTGTTTGTCTCATTCTAGTATCTCTGGATGTTTTTCTTGCTCCATATTTGTGTTTGTGGAATTATTTGTTCCCAACCACACTGTTTGAAAAAATATATCTAGGGATGTTACAATACATCACGATACAAATATGTGAAGATTCAAATCAGTGAGTCATGATATCTGCGTACTTGTTTGATGTCCTACATCACTTCAGTTAGTAGCTGTATCAAGATGCAAAGACCGGACCCATTAAGTTATATTATAGCTATATTGTAGCTCAATGGCTCTGGTAGACATAAAAATTAAAAGGATTCTATTGATCGGATAAAAAAGATATAAGAGAAAATAAGAGCCCAACCGATATCGGACTAACTGCATCAGTAATTTAAAATCGGTATCATCGGTATTTTGCACCGATATGACTCTTAAAGGTATCAGAAGGTCGCTTTCTAAAACAAATAACATACATAAAAAATATTGAAGCTAAAAGGTCTTTAACATATTAAATATTTTCAGAATTTAATTGTTTTGAAGAATTTATATCCTACGTCAGAAATAAAAAAGGATTCTTTGATTTGATAAACAAAAAAAAAAGGGAGGGAAGATTAGAGCTCGACCTATAACATTACTGATGCAGCAGCCGAATGTAAATACCCCTTTTCTCTGTGGCTTTTGCACTGAAATCACTCTGCAAAGGTAGTCAGAAGGCTGACTAGTTCCTGTCAGTACTCAATTGTAGCATCTTTATGGACTTATTGGGTCAGCCTGATAATTAGGAGTTGCAGTAATCCAGCCTAGAAGTAACAAATGCATAGATTAGTTTTTCTGCATCCATCAGTTCTGACATGACTCAGACAAAGGTACTCAGAAGGCTGCTTTCTCAAATAACTTAAAGAATAATTAATGTAAATATATTTTAACATGTTAAATAATTTAACATTTACATTGTGAACCAATTCTAGTTGTTGCTGAGAGCTGCTTCTTCTCTCTTACTCTGTGCTGCTTGATACAGTGTTATAAATCACAGCGCACTCTGCTGGATCAACTTTGCATTGACATAAATATATTACCACAAGCATTTTGTCTGCATTATATACTGGAAAAATACTTTTCATATTGGCACACACTGAATAATAAAAATACCAATACCACACTGATATGGCAATAGGTCAATATGGTGAAAATCATTTAAATTTATCTGAGAAATAAATAAATCTTTTTCAGTCATAATTTGTCTTCAGTCTCATTTCGTTAAAGAAAACCTCCCAGTATCATGAATTGTATTGAATCATGAGTTAATTACATCTCTAAATATATCAGTATAAAGTTAAAAGTCCTGATTGGAAGAAAACACCAAGTTAATGTGAACAGAAAGACTTTATTTGTTTTACATTATTATCTTGGTTACATTCGTATATAAACTTTTAGATTTTTCTAGCATTTTCTTACAGAATGACAGTGATGTTTATCAGATTGCATACCTAGAAAATTAAAGGAATACATGCATCCAAACATGAACAGCATTAAAAGGAGCAACTTTATATAACAAGTAGAAATTCACAACTGAGAGCGCTGCTTGTTCTCGCAGCGCTCGTCAGTCAGGGAAGGAATATTACAGAGGGACGTCCTCTAACGATGCTTAGCAGAGGAAAGCAAGTTCATTGGCTGAACCCATGATCTGGAATCTGAACACCTTTCATTTGAGCGCATGGCTTTCAGCATCAAATTTAAGCAGTTTCCTATAGTTAACACAGTTTGTATTCATGAGTTCTCTCATTAACATGAGGCACCACAAACACAATAATAAAAAAAAGAGCACAACTATTGAAATGGATACAGGAAAGACAACCTCTTAAAAGGTAGTGGAAAGTGCACTTAGTGGGTCTGCCCAGCACAGACCCTGTCCAATCAAACACCAACAATGCCCTCAAAGATTAGATTTCCAACAAACAGCCAATCACATACTGCACTGTGAACTTTGCCTTTCACCGTCTCATAGCTCTCCATCAGGAGATATACCTGCTGTTTAACCACGTGTTCATGTTGTGTTTATTTCTCAGGACGTGCACAACCAAACGGTCCAAATGGATGCGAGCCATCATGTGCATTCTAATGCGTAGTCAAAAGCAAGTATATCTCTGGCATTATGAGGTTTGTGGACAGGGCTCAGTCCCAGCTGCATAGGGCAACAAACATCTACTGCTGCCCCTTTCCCTACACTTTCCCCTGGAATGTGCACATAGTGTTCCCAGTACCTACGAATTCAACACGTAAAGAGTCTCATCGTGACATTTGCCCGCAGAGACAGGAAACGTGGTACAATGATACCTCACCACCTCTTTGAGAAGATGTAACTGTCTCATATGTTAGAATCCAGGGATCATAAATGTTGGGTATCCACAAAAAATAACAAAAAATAAAAAATCGCAATGCCGAAATCAACACTACTTTTCACCAATATTCTGGTATAAACTAAAAACAAGTCCTTTGCTAAAACCTATTCGTTTTACTGGCCAAGTAAAAAAAAAAAAACTGACTGTACACTGGAATCTAGAATCAAGTCAGCAAATGTTTTCACATGTGAGGCCGCGGGTGTTAATTCAGCTCAGATTATTAACGTACACACATTAGGGGCCAAGTGCAGGGACCGGGAGCACGGCCGTGATCTACATGGTAGGGCTCTGATGACTGACCGTCAGCTTTTACAGCATTTTGACAAAAGATGGAACATCACGTGCCAATGATTCATCTCCACATGAGGAGGAAGCTCTAGACTCATGATAGTGTGCATGGCTTTTAAAAAAAAAAAAAAAAAACATTTTGTTCTGTCCTTGATCGAACAAAACAGGAAAATAAACATATAATACTCAGACTATGAGGTTAACATATAAAAAGTACTAGACATATCAACAGAGATGAGGAAAATGTAGAAAAGGTAAAGAACTGATGAATAGAAAAAAGGCATCTTAAGATTATGTTAAGTGTGAGAAATGGCGCTGATGATTGTGACGCAGGAGGTGGTTTGGTATGAGGACAGAAAGAGAGAGAGAGATAAAGATATAAGTAAGAGAGAGAGAGAGAGAGAGAGAGAGAGAGAGAGAGAGATATCTCTGTACTGAAGACATCCTGACAGTTTACAGTCCTCCTCCTGGTCTTCACACCTCTGGGACAGAGTGATCCATGGCTGAGCGCAGGAGGCCGGAGGACATCCTGGAGGAAAAAACACAAAGCATATCCATAAGCTCGTCAGTGAGTAGGATCAGGCAAAATCCATCTTCCCACCGGGTTTGTTTAACGTTGTTACACCTGCTGTTTGATTTAGTTAGTGAGTTAGAAAGTGTGAACATCACCCATAACTTGGTAAAGGGCTGCTTCCAAACCAAGACAAGGCTCTCGCTCTTTAAGAAATTATTTTCCCAGAACCTTTTTCAAGAGTTTGTCTTGACAATTCAGGACAGCACTTGCTCACAAAGATTTGCCGGTAGGCCGAGCATTGCCACACTTAACCGCCGTTTTATTCCCATTTCTTTTTTATTGGTGCAGATTTATGATCTGAAGAGTCTCAGGTTCATTACAGATAGGAGGTCAGCATTTCTGAGACACTCGCTGATTTGCTTAATTCGTAGATTTGTCCCCTCCGTCTCCACTGAACTGACTGCAGTTTACTACAGTTTTCCACTAACAGCAACATTACTTTACTTACCAAATTAAGTAGAATTTACTGATCTTACTTCATCTCACCTATTGGCCAATTAAAAGAAGTAGGAAGTGTTGTATGTATGTATTTATCAACATTTTTCCACTGGGCTTTCATGAGAATACTGATCACAGCTCTGGCAAAAAAAAAAGTTTGTTCCACACCTGGTAAACCTGAATGTTATCCTACCAACAACGTAGGCAATCTGAGTGAGGGGCTAGAGTACAGTTAAACATTTCCAGGATATTTGGTCATTTTAATCAAAACTAGTCAAAACTAGTCTCTACATTTCCAGACTTTCCATGTTTTCCAGGAGGCATGGGTATCGTAATAAATCAAGTGAGAAGTAGACTAATTTCCCCATAAGGCTTCACTTCACAGACCTGGAAGCCTTGTCCATTAATTATATACTGTCAATAGTGTGGACCATAAAATAAAATGATACCTTGTGGCCGTTTAGTTCTGGTCCACTTCCTGTTTAAACTGACTTATTACGAACAAACCAATGGGAGTAAACATGGAAATCATACACACTGACTGGTAACTCAATGATTGGACAGTTTTGGTGATGACCATACTGCATTGTGGGGGCTGTCAAATTCTGGTGACTGACAGCAGGTCATGCACTTCAATGCACCTTATGTGTAGTTACTGTGCCAACGCCTCATTTTCTATGATAATGACGCTAGATTCAAATGCCGAAGTCCTACCTCTTAATCATGTGTTCATAGACGAACTTTGGCATGATGGTGATGGTCATGGCGGTCGGAGAGGTGGTCAGAATGTCCTTGATCTGGGAATCCTGGAATTTTCATACAGAAAGTGTGACTGACATGTGAGGACGTGAATAATGACATACTATCAAATTTGAGGTTTTTAAGTAAAGTTAAAGTCCCCCTCCAGTCAAAACTCAGTGTTTCTTCTTGTTTCTACGGTGAGTTTGATCTTCACTGTGCAGAATGATGTATGTGCAGAGTCTGACACTGGAAGGATGATATATGTCTGGAGGGGATCTTTAACATTTAGGCTACAAACACATTCAGAGCCTTCAGGGCAGGATGAAACTACACGCCTACCAAAGAAAACACTGGACGAAAAGCTAACTGTGGCTACATTACTAAACACCTTTTTACTTCACATTTGCACAGACTTGGAGCTGCTGAATGCTCAACTTACTTACAAATGCTGCACGTTCCCATGTTACACTACATTCTGCCATCCCAACGCAAAATTGAAATTAGCCACCAAACATTTAAAAAAAAGCATCACATACATTTTGTATTTAAACTTCTGTGTTTTCGCACAACACAAGATCAATAAAGTTCATCTTGTCTTACAGCTTCACTTCCTCGTATAATGAGAACTATTTGATGAAAAGAGTCGTATACAGAAACAAAGTGTCTGACCTTAAGTCCAATAATGTTTTGTCCGTTGATTTCACAAATGTAATGGTCAGTCAGCAGGCCGTTGCGGGCAGCAGAGCCATCCTTGACCAGAGAGGTGATTTTACCAGACTTGTAAATGAAGCCCACGTGGCCTGAGCTGTCTTTGTGCATGGTGATGGTGCGCTGAAATGGCCTAAAGACACAAACACAGAGCATTAGGAATCCACAGGCATAAAGAGCCAATCCTGAGAATCTTTCATTGAGAACTACAACGTACCATGTCCATTCATAATTAGAATGAATAGAAAATACTGAAAACTCAGAAACAGATGGCGAACTCAAGAGAACATGAAACTCTCATTTGATAATGTCCATGAAACAGCCAGCAGAGGGAGCCAAACATTTCAGGAAACCGTTTAGAAAACAGATGACAGAAAATCTCACCTGTTAAATACTGAGGTATATACATAGATACTCATTAATACTTTGTATGCAAATTAGGGATGCCCATGTTTTTATATATTTTATATATTGCTACTTGATGATCAGGTAGCAACCTCTCATAAACCCCTTTTCTTTGAACTCCAACAGGCTGTTACAAATGTAAAGAGCTGACTACATGCATTTAAAATCCTGACCATTAGAACTCAATAGAACAGGCAAGATAATGTAATACAATAAAGCACCATTTACACATTAGATAAATGGATGTCGAGTAGTTTCTAAGTGTTGCAATGTTAAACCACAACTGCTCCACCAAACGTAAAAAGACAAGTCAGGTCTACAGATCTCCACATTGGAGGGCACATTAATCTCATGTATTATTCCATAATACATTTGAATGTACATTATAGTCTAATGCGGCGGCTCACAAAGCACTTCTGAGTAATTTGCTCTCAATCTCTCAAAAAAATTGGACATGCAGTATTATTAAAACTATTATAAAATATTTGTTGACACTTTTGATTGAAACTAAACTAAAATACTCCTCACCTGTCCCTGACCACGAGCTCAATGCGGGTCTCAGCTGCGGCCTTCAGGGCCTTGTGGGCCTTGTCTACGCTCCAGCCGGCACAGTTCTGCCCGTTGATCTGAAGGACCTGGTCCCCGAAGCGCAGGCCAGCCAGGGCCGCGGGGGAGTTAGCCTGCACCAGCTGGACAAACACTCCCTGAGAGATGAAAAGAAGAAACAGATAAAACAAAGTGAGTCTGAGGACTGGAGCAAGACAGGAAGACAGACACTGATAGACAAAACAATAGAGCAACTCAAAAGCAAGGAAAATATTGCAAAACAAAACAGAATCAGCAGAAGGTTCATGTCTAATGATGTCCACACAATGTGATGATGTTATTTGATTGGAATGATGTCCTTCATTTGAGTAATTCCACCACTAACAAATTGAATCTTTTAATCTTTTAGCCAAATCATTTCAGTCATTTCAAAGGCTGTCCACTGTATTTGTGCAACTGCATACAAATAATAATGAATAATTTACTGCATCCAAGAGCCCATTACCACCCACTAGCTTCCCCAGTTATCTAAAGAGATCAAGCACAAACTTTGTTTGTTTTCCTTCCAACATATTAATGGTTCTTTGCTCTCAGTACCGATAATAACCCCAGTCATTAACTTTAGCAAGTTACCCTAATTATAGCCAACGCACATGTCCCATAATACTTACTCGATTATAAACAGCTCAGCAGTTGTTGACTACTAATGGGTAATATAGTTGTGGTCAACTTCATCAGATTTATCCAAATAACACTAATGCCTGCATTATAATGACTGTACCGTGTAGCTGCTTTAAGTTGTTCAGTTCAGGCTTGTGAGCAAAACAAAGATTTATTATTATTATTATTATTATTATTATTATTATTATTATTAATTATTAGATGTAAGCCAACCTCAAGCTTTTTAATGTTCATTCTGTGCAAACTCCTTCTTAATGAGCCAGACACTTCATCTAAAATCAGTAAATATGACATAAATAAGACCACCACCCCAAAAAGCAGTTGACCATTTTTTCCCCACAAAACCTTGTGACTAGTATTAGTTGCTAAACTAGTATTGGCCTCTAGTGCACATGCTTCAGATATTGAGCAAAACATGTTAAACATTGAGTGTTGACACCAAGTTAAGCAGAGTTTGACCCAGATCACAACCATGACCGTGTGTTGCAGTAGAATATGGAAGTGTGGATATCCTTCATCAGTGTTGTCAAAGGGGTGTTAACAGCAGTCAGGGCCTGAATAATTCATGTGAGAACAGGTGCCACAGGTCAAAGACTTTGTGCCGCTAACTCACATTGTCGATGGCCCTGAGCCGGAGTCCCACTTTCCTGTCCTGGTCCTTACAGAGGATAATCTCCCGCAGCCCTGGGCGGATCTCTGCCCTCCTGATGCCGACGTCAGCCCCTGTCACCGGCCGCACCATCCCACCGACGCCTGAGCTGGAGGGCAGTGCCACTTGCTGCGGAGGGGGAAGCCAGACAGAAAGGGAGGTGAGAAAAGGAAAGAGGTGAGTTGAGAAGCAAGAATAAGGAAATTGAGTGAGAGAGGGAGGGGTGAGAGGAAGAAAGTATTACATTTAAAATTCAGCTGGAGATTAAAAAAAAGGAATGCTTCATCAAACAGAGGTATGTGGGAGGATTCAATCTCATCTCCTCCTCCACCAGTGAATGAGATCAGGAAAGCTTTGGGCGCTGCTTTTGAAACAGCATCATTAATGTGCTTTTGATCTAACAACGGTGAAATTAAAAACATCAGAAGAATAATGGTCGAGGTGAAGATATCAGCGAATGGCAGCGAACACAGATGGTTAAATGCCAACTGACAAGCTAGGGTTGCTGTGAGAGCCTTGACATCTGCAGGATCCGCATGTACACAATACACACACGCAGTTGGAGGGGAGTGAAGAGCTTACACCCTCCCACACACACTGCTCCAGGCCCGCGGTGAGTCACTCGGTAATGTGGATCTCCAGGAACGGAATACTGTTGTGCTCTGATATAGCTACTAAAAACAGGGTTTTAATCAGGGTTTGAAGCAAGAGGCTTAAAAAGATACAATATGTAACATTTCTGCATTTAGATGTCTAAAAATGACAACACAGGTTCTACATTTTGTTGAGATGTGTTCTTACATAATCCCAAAGTTTCCAACAATGTTCAAACCCAGAGAAAATCCTAATTTTATTATATGTAACAATGCATTTGAGTGCCTGTCGATGGCGTCACGGCTACAAGTCGCTACTAGCATAAAACCCCTAAATCTGAGATCAAACTGTCAGCGGTCAGGTTGCATTGTGGGTGATGTAGGCACCAGGTTTTGACAAGGAATGTGACTGTGTGGAATAAAAAAAGACGATATCTCTTGTTCTGCTGCATGGATTTTTATCCTTTTTTTCTTTAAACTGACCATCATGAGTCAGTGTCAGGAGTGCAATGCAATCTGATGGGGGACTCTTTTAGTAATGCCTCCACGCTTACACATGTTTACAAACACACTTACATTGTCAGCCACAGGCAACAAAGCCAGGTTCCTCTGGACTTCCTCACTGTTGAGGGCCAGACCCATATAGTCTCCCAGCTCCTCCAGGTTCGGGTACAAGCCTGGAACGATGTAGAGAGAGGTGGAAAGGGGGAGGGTGGGTGAAAAGGGGAGAAGGACGGAGGGAGGCCGAGCAGGTGGGAGAGGAGGAAAGTGAGAGACAGGTGGTTGGTAGGGTAGAGAGACCAGAGGGGAGAGAGAGAGAGAGAAAAAAAGGAGATTACCAAATGTTACATAATGAATAAATGAATACATACTTAGAATCTGGCGATAGAATACGTATCACCACACAGGGGTTATGATTCAATATATTGTGATATATTGTGATACTGTAAGCGAGGCCATATATTGCTTTTTTTTAATTATCTAATTTTAGGATAACTGTCATAGTGCAAAGAAAACACCACCATATGCATAAAATCTGAGGTTAAACACGTTTAACAGCCAGAACAGTGGGTCTGTATTAGTATTCATTACAGTCCCTGTAACATCACAGCCCTCACTTTACGTTTACAGCACTGCTTTCTAGCAGTTCAGGCTTTCACCCAAAAAAACTAACACATAATAATTTTTCAATATTTTCTTACACTTGTCCTTTCTGCCTAGGCTTTCTGTTAGTGCTTCTCCTACACTGCAGCACTGAAGACAGGTCTGGTACTGTATCCATTTTGTTGTGAATTCACATGTGTGCAGTACTCTTTCCTACACTTTATATTTACTCATGCCGTCCATCTCAGTCGGGTCATGCTTGAGCTACAATGTTCCCTCCATTGGAAGAATGCTGATAATGAGCACTCTGTGTTGCAGTGCAGTAAAACTTTCCTGGCATCAGTATGCACTTCCTTGCTATGACGGAAAGGCTGCTAAGTGTTTGGTATGATCTGTATGTTATCTGTATTCATGAGACCTTCAGCGGGTCAGGTGGCAGCATCTTATCTCTTCCTCAGAAAAATCTGGTCTAGTAACAGTTGAGTTCCCGGATATGAACCAAGATGCACCTCTGCATTCTAACAAACTCATACAATGTAAGATATGGTTGGGATTAAGCTTGGTATTCCTGATACTGTGTCTCTCCTCTGTCTTCTTCACTGTTTGGACAGTGTGTACCTGTGTGTCCCTCTCCTTCCCTCCAGCATCACTGTTCTGTTCTGGCAACAAGAGCCTGTCGTTGCCTTTGCAGCAGAGCAAGGATGACTGCATTTATCCTGGCAAAGGTAAATCAAGGACATGTATGGAAGGTAGTGAGAGGTCGGAAAACAAGTATAAGCTACATCAGCCAGGGGCTACGTAGTGGCAGCAGTGTTTCCTCTAGGATTTTTTTATAGCAGTGCCCCCCCCAAAATCACGTGTGTCATATTATGTAGGTTGATGCCACCTTGCCAGTCGGGAGAGGAGCCACAACATCTTTTCCGTCAAGTAAAGCCTTCATTGCCCTTCTTTCACTGAAGAAATACTCTCCAGTTCTGATAGAACTGATGATGGCAGTATCTATGCTAACCACCATGGGAGGCACCATTGTTGTTTAACAAACATTGTCTCTTTGCTGCGTCACACTTAGCGCCCACCCCCATAGCTGCCAGTACAGGATGCCGACTGGTCTGGTACCACTGTAGTTTGGCCATAAATGCTAAGATCAAAGCCTGGCAAGGTGGTTTCTTGCGTGATTTTGTCCAGAGTCCAGCTACATTGCAAGGTTAGGTACTGCCTTAACTGGAAGAAAATACTTTCTTCAAGCCATCTTCCAAACGTTAACCACCGCCATCATAGTCGCCAAATACTACCCAAATCACCGATATTTGTCGACCTGGGAATGAGACTCAACTATCAGCTATTGAAAGAATGACTGACCCCACCTTTAAGAACCAGGTTAACTACAGGGTCCACACAATAATAACAGATCATTTTGGCTTCTTATTTTGCCAAACAAGTGTCAGCTGAATACAGATTTAACATGTATATAAGAATGCAAATAATGTGGATGAATCAATGACATACATCATCGTACTAATGACTTAAGTATCAGTGCTACTGCTGGAACACAAAGAAACCTTATTAGAGTTAACATCATAGGTCATTTTTTTGCCAAATATGGTAGTGTAGGGTCATATTACGCCCTCATATATGTGGAAGTGGGTTCCCAAGAGAACTTTATAGTTGGCTGTATGAGCTGATCTTGACCAGTTGTTGGCATGTCTTTACCAGGAATCAGAAGTTAGGAGACAAAAGTGGAATGGAACAAACAAGGCAAAGTTTGGGCCAGTAAAGGTCAATACAGTGTAACAAACACACATCAACCAACAAAATGTACATACAGTACGAGGAAGTAGCTCAGGGATTTGGATCCACGTCAATACTTATGTAAATTTAATATTCACTGAAGCTCATTGTTTCAACAGCAATGACTGTGCAATGGCTGTGCCAGGTGGAGTCAAGTCTAAAGTCAACATGGTTTGATTAAGACATTTCAACCACACACACACTCCACCCAGACAAATCATCAGTTACAGGTGACGGCTCCGGTCATGGTCCAGAAAATGCACAAAGCGAGAAAACACCCACACATTGTTGGCCTAATATCAAAAGTATATACAAGTATATAAAATGATAGAAAAATCCAGATCCTGATTCATTCTGTACTCCTATACTAGGCCCTAATAAAAAAACCACTAAATGCATTTCATTATTTCACAAAACTGAAAAAGCCTAGTCATAACAGTTGCCCTCTGTGTTTTCCTCATTTATGTTTGTGTGCTCTCGTGTTTTATCACCGTCTCTTTCACTGAACTCTCCCACACACGCCTGCTCCACATCTACCCACATAATGTGAAAAAGTGAACTGCTCTTTATTTCAATTCAATGCTATTTCACTGTTCATGCAATTTACCCCTCGCCTGACCGCTTCCTTCTCAAATGTCTATCTTCAGCTACAGTATTCAGAAATTAGCCCTTGAACTCAAAACTCCCTAATTCCAAAAGGAGCCAGTGGAATTTCTAAGAAATGGTTGATTATGATTTTCATATTAGGTACGGTTTCTCCACACCATGCCCGAGTATGATTATACACTTGTGTCACAATCTACCTGACATTTGCTTATGTTGTTGCTACAGTGTAGAAAACCCCGCCAATCACAAGATTCCAAGCTCATACACCTCACTAAGGCGGAAGTTTCCCTTTCTACGGAGCAATTACATAAGAGCACCGCTTAAGAGAAAATGGTGGAAAGCTGGCTCATTAAGTGAACGACGGCCACAAGAAATGATTAACAAAGAATACAAATTTATTTCCTACTTTCTTGTTTTGGTACTATTGTTTTCACACCTCATGGGAACCCGAGTAAACCTGAACCATACTGACGCAACCTTTTGAGGTGGCTAGGTCGTTAATCCGTACCCGGGTGCAGTACACGGTGTAAAATGTGTCTAACTGAAGCTGTACTAAAATCACAATTTACATTATTTTGCAGCTTTAAAGACCCTGAAAGAAAGAAAATACATCACGCGGTTGGGGTGATTTAAAGGTAGTGATCGCAATTTATAGCATTAGCGTATATGGCTGGACTGTGGTCCAGTGTTGATGTCCCCTTACACCTCCCCTCTCTGCTTCTATACTCAATGCCAGGAGAACAAACTCCTCTCGTCTCTCCTCTAGCTCACCCTTACGCTCGCCCTCCTCCCTCCCACCCTCCTTTTCAAATCAACTCCTCCTCCTCCTCCTCCTCCTCCTCCTCCTCCTCCTCCTCCTCTCTCTTTCTCCCATCATGCCCCGTCCCAGCACAACTGCCAGAGCCAGTCGCCATGGTGACTCATAGCGAGCTCTGCTGAGGTAAAAACAAAAGACCAAAGGCCTACAGGACTTTGCATCCAAACTGAGAAAAGAGAAACTGAATGAGTGGGAGAATGTGAAAAAGGGGGAGTAGTGAGTGAAAATCAGCTCAAAAGTTGTGTTCTGTAATCTCTAAAGAGCCCCTTGCCCATCATTTACACACGTTTACTCTTTTGTGCATGCCTCCTTTTTCTCTCTTTCCTCCCATCTCACTCTGGCTTACTGCAGAGTTCAAGCCTACTTGCACACAAACTCAGAAAAACGTAAACCCCTGAGCAGAAATACAATGAGAGACAAAGACACAGAGAGTCACAAACACAGAGGGAAAGAGGGAGAAATCAGCTGGTGTGGGGAGGCCCATTTACTCCTGTTATTGTGAAAGACCCCATAACTCCTCCTCCCATCCCAGTCCTCTCACACCACCCGTCCTTATCCCTTCCTAAGACTACAGAACTGTTCTCCAACGAAGAATAGCACAGGCTCAGAAGCACAGACCCCCCACATTGAGACACCAACCAATATCCAGTATACGAAACAAAAGGAACAGAGACTAAATGACAAGGAAAAACGGAAAGCAGATACCAGTGAAGGTGTTTCTGTTACAGTAGTTTGTAACACATTTTCAGTATATGTGAGACTCACTTGATCCTGGCATCCCAGCAGTGGCAAGCTGAGGCTGGTAGGTTCCCTCAGTGATGGCTGGCATGGGGGTGGCAGTCTGGGCAAACTGGGCCTGGGCCTAGAAAGTAATCAGAAGCGCCAGTCAACTGGAGGTGTACTTGGACATAAAATGGTAAATACTGGATGAAAGGCAGCTGTCATGAGTGGAACATAAACGAGAAAGGAGAAATGATTAAAGTAGGGTTGTTAAGGAAACAGAGTCGACACTCAAACCCTAAAAGAGTGGTTTTACTCAGAGGGAACCGCCTTCATTATTGGGCCTACGCAACACACCTAATGGTAATTTATTCTTTCACAGTGTATAGGAGTTAACAGCTTATATCTTCACTGACATGCAAATGTAATGCTAAAAGTTGAGCTTAGTGAATTTTCTGTTGACTTCAATGAAGTTGGGGGACTCACAAGAAGCAGAGCCCAAGACATCCTGACTTTTGGTCCTTGATATGGGTCAAGCTCCAAAAATACTGGATCTTGCATTGCCCCAGATCCTCCTGACTCTTAAATGCTCACTTCTTTCAAACCCCACACCGCCAGCAGGCTCTCTGTTGAAAGTCTCAAACCCAATCTCAGGCCCAAACTTCTGAAAGTTCGAGAACCACAGAAGACATTATAATATTGTATCTGCTTTCAGAGGTGGTGTGAGCTGAATTTAATGGTAATTACCCCAAATAAATTGAGTAAACTGGGTATATCTTTAACCCCCCCTGCAATTTTGCTATATTTGCTACATATATACTGCACGGACAAGCAGGAAGCATGAGCTCTTTTTGTAATCTAGTTTAAAAAGTGGCACAAAAATATGGCACAGGTTACTACAGATTACCAAGCATATCGTGTCCACATAGATGTCTCTGTCTAAAAACGATTCACTCCAACACACTTACCTTGATGACCTTGTCGACCTTCAGGTCCTCGAGGGATGGATACAGGGACATCTTAAGGAGAAAACACAAACAGCAGTGAATGGAGGACCTTGAGAAAAGGGCCAGATTAGCCTCACCAGACTACTGACTGGGATAACCTCATATGACCATGACATCATCTATTACCTTTGAACTCCATTAAGTTACTTTCTAGAGTAACATTGAATCAAAGGACTCCTTATGGTGTGAAAGGGATGGTAGTGCTGAGGATGCGAGTGAGAATTAAAACCAACTCTAGCTGTATGCAGCTTTCAGCCACATCCCGTTTATTGTTGCTGTTTACCTAATCTAATAAATAAATGACTGATAAAGAAAATCCAACTTTACCCGCACTACAACATCTGCTTCACATGCATTAGGCAGGTAGCCATTTCTTCCAGGATAAACTTACAAATCCAATCAACTATCGACATGTATCATGATATAATGAATTTCTCTAGACCTCTGGATATTGTTGCTAGGCAGATATCTCACACATACATTACGATAAACATCACAATTTGCATTCATTAACAGAATTTGGGTGAGTTATAATTACATCTAAGATAAGGCAATACAGTGTGAACATAATCTAAGTACCCAGTGCACTTCCATAAAACAGGTGCACTTATTCTGATGCGCATCATGACTTTTTGGAGTCACAGCTGATCGCTTCACCCTGGCACCACTTCTTCTTATCTAATCTCTTCTCATGCAGGGTGAGCTTAAGGTATATGTGTGTACTGACTTATTGCTGTAAATGATAAACATGTGGACCACAGTACGAGGTGAGAGGAGGACAGAGAGCGTGCAGGCAGAAGTAGCATAGGATGTGAGAAGAAAGGAACATATTTCTGTTTTGTTCATCCACTCTCAAGCTCAACTGCACTTTTCATGATAAAGCTTTCTGTTGAAGCACTTCAGTCTGTACATATGGGTGACTTGTGTGAAGTACAGGCTGCCACAAAACATAATGCATGATGGGTGGAGGGTGGAGGCACAAAAGCACAGATAATGGTCAATGGCTGTCAGGATGTTGTTCTGATAATAACAGTGGTCTACTCTGACCAAACTAAACAAAGAAGAACTCATTACCACAGCACATAAACAAAACAGCAGCCTGATAAGGAAGTGATAATAAAATAAGTTTGAGTCTGACGGAAGTTTGTTTAAATTTAGTTCTTTCTTTCATCTGTCTTGATAATGCCCACATTGCTCCCTGTGCCCTGGTGTCTGTTGATAGTGATTTGGAAGAACAAAATAAGGCAGTGGCCGATCACATATAGAGTTAACATTTAAAAATGTTAACTGGCCAAGGCGCATCCAATAACAAAGTCCCCAGTTCGATTCAAGCTGGGGACCTTTGCTGCATGTCATCACAGTCTTCCAGTGTGTTTCTGTCTCTACTGTCAACCGTCAAATAAAGTACTATATGTATGCACTGATCAAGGTCTCTCTTCCAGTAAGGGCTTCTACTATTTTCAATTAATCTGTTAATTATTTGTTTTACAGTTTGGTCTTTAAAATGTCAGAAAAGTGTGAGAATGCAAACACAACTTTGCATCTTCAAATAACTCCAAGACATTCAACTTATTATCACAGGAGACAAAGAAAAACAGATAATATTCATATTTCAGAAAACTGACTTACTACTTAACAACTCACTGATTATCAGTTAATTATTGCAACTCTACTCCTGATTTATAAAGACACTGCATTTAATGTGGATTTAATGTGGATTGCTACCAATCCTATGTGTGGGATCCGTGAGTCCCTAAAGCGAAAACATTATCGATGTGCGATAGCGATGTGATTTCACTTTAATCTTTGCAATCCTTCTACTTTTATATCAAAAAAGTGAAGAGGACAGAAGTATCACTGATTTCTTTCCCATTTTCTTGCCTGCACTGTAACAACTGTGTGTCACTATCACAAGATATGTGACCTTACTCAATGAGGAACAGAAAATCAAAGGGAGGAGGACTTGACAACTAAAGTCAAGTAAAAAACACAGATTCCCTGTATTTCATACTGTTAAACCCTATCATATAGAATTTCCAAAAAAGCTTATGCACCATACTGCACCAACAAAAACTCAACAAATGTTTTAAAGAGTACAAAACATCACAAACATAATAGTCCACACAGATATGTAATGTGCACACAGTGGTAGGATGTGGTCAAACATTCATGTTGACAGCAGTAGGCAAAAAGTGCATTGAGTCCTAAATAAACTAATCATCTTTACCACAATCACATAACTGCAACGTCTCACTCTCCCAGCTACTCCAGCCACTACTCCAGTCTGTTATTCTCAGTCCTCACAGACAGTGCATCATTGTGTCAGTGGACAGAGGAGCATTTTAATACCTTCTAGTGTTTACTTTACAGCTGTGTTTGTTTGCTTGCTTTATATTCCTCCCTCATTCGGACTAGCAGGCCAGTGGTATAAGTGAATAAGCCTGGAAAAAATGAGTGTTCTTGGGAAGTTCTTGCAGTGACATAACCTAAATCCTTGAGTCACTTCTGCAACTGCAGCTCAAAAGAAGTGGAAAGTGACGTTCTTTGAAATGTAAAAGGAAAATGAAGTGCATTTATACAGCGTTTTCAACCGTAACAGACAAAGCTCTTCACAATGCTGCCCCTCGTTCACCCATTCACACACACTCATACGCCAATGGCGGCAGAGGTGTCATGCAGGGTTCTGGCCTGCCCATCGGTGGCAACTTTGGATTCAGAAAACTATTTTTATTCATCGATTCATCATTTTGCTGTTTTGTCTGTAAAATGACAGAAATTTGTGGAAAATGTTCCCCAAAGCCCAGGGTGTTTAAAGTTTATTGTCACAGAGGACTAAAGAAACCAAAGAATGTTCACATTTGAGAAGCTGAAATCAAAGAATTTGGACATTATTCCTTTAAAAATGATGAGTCATTGGTTATGAAAACGGCTGGCAATCCATTTAATAGTTGACAACTAATCGATTAAGTGACTAATGGTTGCAGCCCTGCTCTAGGAAACTTCAACTCCAACTTTCAAACTTTGTGATTAACGGACGGCCGCACTGTTATATCCAGGCTTTGGCAGTAACAGATCAATGTACTGATTTACATAATCACGATAAAAAAAAGGTAAAACTGTAATCCATTAGCTGTAATTACCTTACAGTTAGGATTATTTAGCATGATTACACTTTTAATATACGTCAGTTTTTCTTTTCTTTTTTAAATACACTGAGCAGAGGACACATTTTTGATGCTAAAAATCGTTCTATTTCCCATTCTGTTTTCCACGGTTACATTGTTCTGTTGATTCTTTTCTCCTGTTTCTGTATTTACTTATTTGGCGTTGAGGTAATCCAAAAGTAACGGAAAGTAATCAAGTTACATTACTTTAATACTGTGATACTGGGTTTAGGTTACTGACTACATTTTTAAACAGGTAATTATCAGGTTACATTTTCAAAGTAACCCTCCCAACCCTGCTTATACAGAAATGTATCTGAACAACAAACAGGTGAGACAGGCATTGCTGTGCTCGCTGCTACTCAGCAACTCGGTTAGCAAAGCAAAAGCTCTGGTGAACACTGGAAAGGAACTTCAGTAAGCCTGAACGAATTGGTTATTTACAAGAATGTGGTCTTCTTGGCAGCTTATTCCGGTCTATTGACACGGCTGGGAAACAGATAGGGAGTGGGGAGGAGGAGAAGAAGGAGGAGGAGGAGGAAGAGGATGACTGACAACGGTAAAAAAGGACACAGAGGTCTCTGCTGCACACCCTTTCTAATGCGGCCATTAAATAAAATGGGCCACATTATATCACATGGGGCCAGACAGATATTATACCGTTAACCGTCCTCTATAAACCATGAGCTAAGTTAGCTCATGGTTTATTGACGCTGTAACAACACAGGAACTGCGTTGTTTAGTCAGGGCTTCACTGGCGGTAGCTTAATGATAACAGACAAGGCGTTTCCTATATCTTCTAATATTGAGGCAAACATCTGTGTACGATTTAAATGAGGAACTACAGTGAAGTTATGTCTGTCTTATGACTGGTTAAGTTACGACATTACATGTTAGCTACCATAAAGGTGTCTCAGTGCACAGGCATTAAACATTAACCAACCGCACCGCTGTTAGCTGCTTAAAGCAGACACACAAATCTAACGTTAACTTAGTTAGTTAGGCAAAATTAGAGCAGACTGAAATGTACATGAATTATGACTAAACTAATGTGTTTCAGCCGAGTGGACCGTCTTTGTTCCGACACAGCAGGGAAGCGAAGAGCTAGCCGTAACGTTAGCTTGTTAGGTAAACGAGACGCGGATGTACCGGTGAGGGAGGGTTTGGGTCAACGGTTCGGTAGAGACGGGCTCACCTTTAATGTCTTGCTTGTAAAATCAGCTCAAACACTTGGGAATCTCAGACAGCAGCAAACTCCTTTGTTTTTCCTTCTCTCTCCTCGTCGCTGTGGCTCTCCGTCGTTCACTTGAAACGGCACTAGAGGGGATTTCTGGAAAGTGATGTCACTGCTGGCTTCCTGGTCGGGCACACCACGTCAATCAATGTTGACGTCGTAAGCCACGCCCCGTATCGGTCACATGAGCGTTGACTCACAATAACCGTTCCTCACCTGTAACCGTACCTGTAGTTGATCAGAGGGGAGAGCCGCTGCTGTATGAGAAGACTTTAGCAAATATTTACAATGCCCTGAAGATTTAACTGCAAACCTTTTCCTCAGCAACAGTTAACGCATAAACTGGGCCTTTTCTTTCCCAATATGTATGGGACCTTAGCAACTCCCGATGGTTATTGTTCTACATTGATTTATTGATATAAAGGACCAGTGTGTAACATTTAGGACAGGAGTCAACCTTTACTATCAAAAGATCATTTTGACCAAATAATAGGCTAATAATAATAATCTGTCTGGAGCCACAAAACATATTTGAGCCTTATAATACAGCCTATTAAGTAATTAAGTATTAAGTACTATTAAGTTAATTAGCCTATAAACATTACTAACAGGTCTAAATGCATTAGCCTCATGTTTTACCACAATGTGGCTCTGAGATTGTTTGGTACGTTAACTTTGCAGTTCTATTACAATAATAAAATGTTTTGTTGATATGAAATTATAGAGCTATAATAATTATAGCTCTTGACATTTTTTGTTATTTGTGTTCCCATTGCCCACAAAATTCCATGTTTCAAATACAGCAATTTATCAGTGTTTGGGAGGGTTTCGATTTCCTTTGAGGATTTGAGTGAAATTGACCTTCTGATTGGTTCAAGCTCAGCTTTCAGACTTTTCAACTTGGACACACCTTTGTCAACTATGTGTCCAGTTCAGTTTCAACACGCATTGTAGTTAACAAAATACATAAAAAAATATTTGATTCTGTGTATAGGCTACATTTTGTTTTATAATTGGAGAATTTAAGAATTACTTTAGGCTTACCACAAGTGAAAATTGAAAAAAGGTAAATTATATATAAGGTTATTATTTTCCATATATTTTTTGTCAAAGCCACCAGCAGCCACTGGAGAGGGGCTAATGAGTCACAGACCTAAGTGTATAATCACCTAAAAATAATAATTGTTCGGTTATTAGAATGAGCTGTTTTTATCTGCAGAGGGAGCGGGTCCTCTTCTACGAACCACCATGTTTCTACAGTAGCCAAGAACGGACAAACCAAACACTGGCTCTAGATAGGGTGTTATGTGTTTTTCACGGCCACTGTACTTTCTCCTACACACATTTAACAAGAAGTAGTTAAACCAGTGTAAAAATTCTCCATTGCAAGAAAATGTTTTGCATTCAAAAAATTAAATTGAAAAGTACTCATTGTGCAGAACAACCCTGTCAGCGTTAATTACAGATGCATTAATGTTGTTCATACTTTCTATATTATTGGGCATGGCTGGACTACACACTGGACAAGATTGACACAGAGGTGATCCCTAGAGGTCCAAAAATCCCCTTGTTCATGGTTGAATGTAAATTGATTAACTCATTAGGAATTTAGAATTTTAAACAAAAAGTATTAACTCAGGCAATTCATGGGTTATCTAATCTTTGTGGCCCTATCCTTTAGTGGGGCCCTGTTTTCTTTCTGTTCTTTGCAGGTCCTCAGGTATACTGTATAATGAAGGAAGGGGTGCAATATGACCCAACAACAAACCTTTTTTTTCCTCTGGGGCCCCAGAGGTAAATCCCTAACCCTAATCTTAGATTTCATAAGATGATCACGTTTTATACGTAAAACTTGATTTCTGTAAGGAACTAGTAACATAAAGGTTTTATATATGAGACTGATAACATTAATATAGCAGCAAACAACTATTAGCTAGTTATGGAGTCATGGTGTCACACTCCCTCTGCCTGTGTTGCTATCGCAGCCTCTCTGTGGTCTGTTCACATAGCAGGTCTGCTCCTTGTGCAGCTGAGCAGAGCGACTGAAACTGCTGTTTTTTATCATCTATATCAGTGAAATTATTTGACCAAACCAGAGTTTGTGGAGGTTGAAGTTAATGTAAGTTTTATGTTGTTTCAGTCCACTCTGAAGGAAGTTACAATGTAACAATGATATGCAAGCTAAAATCCCTGTTTTTGTCTATGGAGTCAGGTGGTTAGTGATAGCGATATTATAGCCGTTTCTGGCTAAACAAAATCTCTAAATAGATCCTTTCCATAATGTTGTCAGACACTGAGAATAACAAACTGAGTCTGTCAGTGGCAAAAGAAAAAAGCACCCTTTGTGGATGTTCTTTAACAGGCATATGTGTCCCTGAGGATTAATGTTACTTTACATTACTTGTTGCAGTTATTATAGCCCTTTTCATGAATATTTTCACATCTAACTCAATGAATTCATAATTTATTACAACCAAACCAACGTTGGTGGCTGTTAGAAAGACTAACAAAGGCGGTTTTGGTGAGTTTGATTTGACTTTTGTCCCATTATTTTGGTCTGAGATGCTAGTGTGACATCCAGCAGCAGGTGAATTTCATATATATAACCTTTATATACAAGAAATGGGCTCATTAGTTAGGTATTATTTTTACTTTTGATTATTAGTAGTTTACTAATTCATCTGTACAGAATAATTTACTTTTATATTTATACTTATGCAAAATGCACTCCTGTCACCATCGCTTTTTAACGTTTGCTGCATGCATGAATGTCCATGATTGTTGCATTTGTTTTGTGTATTTTTCAGTATTTTTATATTTATATTAGCAATCCCTTATATTCTGTATGTGGGGATGGCAATCAACAAGCTTGAATTTAAAGCTGAAAATACATGTAAGCAAAAAGTACAATTTACCCCTGAAATGTAATGGAGAATTTTGAAGTAGCATAAAATTAAAATAATCCTTAAGCAAATATAAATACATCAAATTTGTACTCAGTACTTAAGTAAATGGACTTAGTTACTTTACTTAATTGGAACGTAGATTGACTGTTTTGGTGTCAAGAGTGCGATGATACATTACAGCTTGAAACTATTCAAACTATTGTACACAACAACACATGTTAAGGAATTATTTTTAGTGTTAGCATGGTGTAAAGACCCGAACCATCACTATTCCATTCATGTAAAAGATTAAAAGCATAAATACACATCATAACGAGAAAATACCCCCAAAAAAAACGTCAATAGACAAGTGGAGAGCACTTCTTTTATTTTAAATATGTCATCATTGGTTTAGCCTGCATACAATAACATATCAGCAAATAACTACACAGTACAGAAGTGGACTGCTGCCACACCAGTTGCAGCTTGGCCAATATGTAACATCGATAGCCACGGTCAATATCTGACAGCCAGGCCAGCATATTCCTTCATTTAAACTCCATTTAAAACTTTTTATTTGAGATACAAAACCACTAGGATGCCTGTGTGTAAGCATTTTTTCTAGACTTCAGTTTAAAAAAAAAAGAAAAGAAAAACATCATAGGTTATACATTAGCTGTGTTGATTCTCAGAGATAGAAAGTTGGCATCTGAAAAATACATGACTGTAGTTGTTACACAAAATAAGTTTGGGGGGTGGGGGGTCACAATCTGATTGATCCCTCAACCCCCTTTTGTAAATTTCAAGCATTTCCCTTTTTCTTCTAAGAAAAAAATAACAATCCAATTGATGTGCGTCAACGCAAATCCTGCCTTTGCACTGTTCGACCTGTGTATGGCTTTAAATGGGGTTTAAAGACTTGGCGAGGTAAGAAGGCAATATAAGAACGCAAATCGGATGCAAAGCTTTCAAAACGTACATACTAGGGTTTCCGTCGGGCCTAGAGCATGCAGACGGGGCAAGGTCGTAACCATGTGTTTCAGCACACATTAGAACTATCTACAAGTGTGATTGGTTCTCCTTTGCGCCAATTACCCCCCTCTAGCTCACACACAACTTCTATGACAAAGAAAACAGTGGTACTATATAGAAATGGGTCGGTTCCTGTGTCGCACTATTAAGGCTTCCCATGACTCGACATTTCACTACAGCTAGCCACTAAATTTAACACTAAGCCTCATCTCTCTAACAGAAACTCATTTGTTCTGATTTTAAGCTGGACAGGGATACAAATGTGTGCTTTTCATTTTTCTTTTCTACACTTTTTTTTGTTTCTGTGATATAACAAGCACCAGCTCTCAAACATTGTATTACTATTACGCATCGACTCCTAAGAGATGAATGTCACTGCTAGTGGTTCATTGGTATTTTGTACTTCTCAGCGCAACCATGCACAATCGACACTTCAAAAACACAAAGAAAATGAAAAGAGCAGTTCAAATAAAAAAAAAATCAAGATTAAGAACATGGAGGTTTGTAAGGTTATGGCCCATAGTTTTTTAGGAGGAAGAATATGATGGAAAATATAATTCACTCAGTCACAGAGAGACAAAATAACACAAACTGTAATAGTCTGATGAAATAAGTAGTGGAACTATAGACTCAAGCCTCTTATAGAATCAAGTGCAGACTCTCCTAGCTTCTCTCCAGGTCATCCAGGTAGGAAGTCACCTGTGGAGACAACGAAAAGGAAAACTGCAGGATTAGGATCATCATGGATCAGATGGTTACAGCAGTGCCACACACAGCCCCTAAATCTCCACTTAAAGGTCACATATGTACAATTCGAAAATATTCTTTTTATGTATTAATCACTTTTTATTGCCAAAGTGTGAACAGATTGTAACAAAACTATTTTTCCATAGCTTGTGATAACAAAGTGCCACATGCTGCATTTAATCTTTTGTTCTGCTGTCTGTCCCTGCCTGCGTCTTCACAACTGTACTCCCCCCACACACGTGTGTATTTTTTCCAGCAGGTCATTGCTCCAAATGTGTCAATAATAACCGTAATCCACCACTGTTCGCTGACATATCATGAGCAATCACAAAATGACTGCACTGAAAGATCATGATTTGCTTTGCAGATCTGATCATTTACAAAACAACAATACTTACTTTCATGTCATTTTCCGGATATTAACCTACAGTTAACTCTTGAAGAATGATTGAATATGCACCGCA